TAAAAAATAAAAAAATGAAGGCCATGTAAAAAATTTTTCCAAACCACATAAAGTCCAAATACAGTTCCCTGTATGTATATTAGTACGATGAAATGCATACAGATTCAGTATTTCATCTTAGGGCAAAAATACAGAATAAACTACCCATTTTTTAGTAGCTAGTCATATACTTATAGTGAAAAATGCAAAAAGATTGGTCATTTGGGAAAAAGGAGCTGTCATTTTAATCATTTATTTTTATTTATAATCCATCCTTTATCCTCTATATTTCAACATTTTCTGAAAAAACAAAACAAAACCTAGATAGATGTTGACCTTAACAAAGCATTAACATTATTTGTAACCTTTTCTTAGCAGAATGATTGTTATCCTTTTTCTTCTTATCTTGCTGCATAACCAAACCTTTTGCTTTAGAATCAGCACAATTTAGCATGTCGCATTAAGTTAGACTTTCAGCTGGATCACATTTTGAGAAATGAGCTTCTGCTATAGTTCTCTTCAATGCTGCAGATTTAGTAATCAGGTGGTGTTGAAATATGTTTTTGGTATATTTTAGACCTTCAAACTTGGCCCTCAGAAGGGAACACAAACAAAAAACACAAACACGCCGGAGTGGTCTGGGAAGATAAAAGGTCCAGGAGGGACTTTACCAGCATGTTATTTTTCATTTTTTTGTTGATGCAGAAAGTCCCTCAGTGACACGTGGTCTCTAAAGTCCAGTGGTCCATGCACCGGGCTCGTGCTGCTGATCAAATACAAACCTAAAACAGGAGTACACTTTAGACCCCGGAAACAGAATGAACCCCTTTACCTAAGCTTAAAATATATAATGAGTCACAGTGTCTGGTAATGCTGTGTACACGTTGTCTCTTTCCTCTCAGCTTATCTTTACTGGCTAAACTTTGGTGTCTTCTGTGTCCTGTATGTTGGATCGATTGGCTGAGTCCGATACCTTTGCCCCAGATTCCCTGTTTCTATTTCAGCCGACTTATGTGCACAACTGGTGCGTGGTCTAACAAGCTGTCCATGCCTGTTACAATAGCAGAGGCAGACAAAGACAAAAGCATGTAAAAAAAAAAAACTAATTAAATTCATTTATATCAGATAATACATTCCAGCTGAAAAGTTTTTATTATAATTTGTTCTCTTCTGCATCCAACATTTTGTTGCAAATTGCAATGAAATGTTTTGTGCAGATTCTCAGTAAATTATAATGAAAATGGAAATGATTATAGCTTAATGGATACATTTATGGCTTAAATGTATCCAGATGAACTAATTTTGGTTACTCTTTGCAAATCGAGTCTTAGAATTTCTGACCAATCACTTCTATTGGTTCCTTTTCACAGGTTTTCACTCAGAACACAGCGGTAGTTTGAACTAGTCTAGAAACCCGTTTCCATTTCAAGTGGGTTTTTTTTTTTCTTTTAGATTTTATGATGTTACAACTACACACATGAACATTTATTGTTGAAGTTTTGTCCATAAGATCAACACAAAGTTAGTCTTAACTCACATGTTTGTCATATATTTCCCATCTTGGGTTTGTAGAAACTGTAGCGTTAGCTGTGGGTCTTTTTGGGTATTTCTTCACATAGTTTGCACAGTTTCAAAATCAGGGTCTTGCCCAATTGTCTTTCCGTATCAGTTTTTGGACATGAAAGTCCAGACCTAAAGTCATTTCAGATTGAGTTTAGATCTGGACTTTAAGTTTGCCACATCAACAAATAAATATGCTTTGCACCTTTGCAACCTTATGAAGTGTTTTGCTCCTTCTACAAGGTTTGTGCCTCATTTAGATCAATCCATTTTACCAACAGGTTTCCCTCTCTTCACTACGGGAAATCGTTCACACAGCAAGTGCACTAAGGCCACAAAGACCAATATCATCTCATCTGACCAGAATATCTGCTTTTTTTTTTCTGTCATGCCCTCCTGGCTTGTTTCAACGTCTTCTGAGTCATATCCTCTTATGCAATGATGACTTTTTTTTTTGCTGATCTTCCATAAAGGGGGTTTTATGTACGCTAACCAAAGATTGGCAGTTTTCCTGTTGCCAGATTCCACCACCAGAGCTGCTGATCTTTGCAGCTCCCCCAGAGATAATAGCGGCATCTCTGATGCTCTGCTGATTCACAGGGAGTTGGGGCTAATTTTAGCACACTGCTAATGTCGTGGGAAAGCTTCAAGTTTCTTAGTCCAAATCCCAATGACTGGGCTCTACAAAGTGGTGGCCCACCACTCTCTGAGGGATAGGTTAGAGGCAGAGCACTAATTTTATGGAAAGGCAATTTTAAATGGTAAAATAAAGGAATTTCATTACTCCTGTTGCCAGTGGCAGTCCTATATGAAATTTACAAAAGGGGTCAGGGTGGGACCATTGTTTTTGATTGGATCACAGGACAGAAGAATAAAACATAGGTGCAAAAAATGGGGAAGAGTACATCTTGCAGTATGTCAAGTCTTAAAATTAATTTGAGCAAGTAAATAAGATAAATAAGATAATTACACATTATGCACATCAAGTTAGATAATAAACTTCATCCATCCATTTTCTAGCACGCTCATCCTGAGTGCGGTCGCGAGGGGTGTTGGTGCCTATCTCCAGCAGTCAACGGGCGAGAGGTGGGGTACACCCTGGACAGGTTGCCAGTCCATCGCAGTAGATAATTGACTTGTTTCTGATTATTATAAAAATTAATCATCTTATTCTATTGGCTAATTTTCTTAACTACCAACTCAAATCGAGTAAACCAGTTATTTCAAACATTGACTGACTTACATTTTCATTTTTTCCCCGTATAATGTCAGAAAAATGGCCATAAAGGGGCACAGTACCACCTCTACTGGGGCACTGGCCCCTGTTGGCCCCTGTAGGCCCCTGTTCAGAACCGCCACCATGCCTGCAACTCTTCCTTCAGAGTCTGCAGATTAAGCACAGATTCATGTCTGGTTGGTTTGCACTAAGGCCGCACAAAATCGTAAAACCTGAGATGGTGATCATACAATCAAAATTGTGATGACATTATGTTTGCCTATTTCCCTTTTTCCTGTCTTTCTCATCTATTCTTCCGTTACACTTTGACCTTTAGCCTTTTGCATCATTTTGGGGCCCGGGACTCTGTCCAGCAGGCTAAATATGACATTACTCTGCATCGCTCAAGTTCATAACACTAAGAATATATTAATCGACAATAATTTCACTCTAAACTGACTTTTTTTTTATATGAGTATTACATGCTGATATTGCAATAATGGTATATTTGTGGAACATTGTGTAGGCCTACTTTGCAATTGTGACTCTTTTTATTGTCTGATAATGCATTGAACAGAGCTCTGTCAATGTTTTAATTACCTAAATCTGCTTTAAACGTCCAAAACAACTTGATCCCTGACCTGTGTGCTGTGTAACAAACCTCTGAGGCCTTCACCTGTAACTATATTTATACTGACACATTGATGGAATATTATTTAGCATTTATTTAGGGGGTGTCAAATAAAGCATGTCCCAATCTGAAGCATTTTACTTATAAAATGGGGTTGTAAGCATTTTCCTTTATCTCTCTTAGCCTGGCACGTGGATGAATGATCTCTCCTACCAGAGCAAGTGCTGTTTGCTTTCCTTGTTTGAGCAGACAGGTTATCGTCCAACTGGACTTGAGTCAGTCTATTCTTAGGTATCAATGTTCGATTCTAGTAAAACATTTACTGTTTGTCTTATTTCTCAGAATCGTATATTCTGATAACCAGTGCTTCCACCAATTTCGTTCGGATGCTAGTTTGACAAGATTACGTTTCTAAGTTTTAGACATTACACAACACTACCTTGTATAACGACATTTGAAGACGGAGTCCAACTGCAACCTCCACAATTTGTCAATCTAACCCTATGGCTTCCAGCGGAACTGGTTGCTTAAGCAATAGTTTTTTTCTGCCAATTCCAGAATAAGTCATTCAATATTTTAGTAACAACAGCGTCTAAAAGTTATAGATATTAAATCAGTTCTTGAATTAGAGATGAGTTTTAGCACAGTCTCACATCTAAATGTATTTTAACAGTTTATCCCAAAATTGTCCAAACCACCAGCATAGGTCATGCCAAGTAGGTTTGCACTTATAAGAATTTTGACTTGGTGTTGATGATGCAGATAAAAAAAAAAAAATTATATATATATATGTATATATATATATATATATATATATATATATATATATATATATATATATATATATATATATATATATATATATATATATATATATATATATATATATATATATATATATAGAATATATAGCTATATACAATATAAACCATACAATATACTAAATGCAATATATAGTACATAGTTACAGTATATACTAAATACACAGTGGGCTGTACACTGTGCGTTAATGTATGTCTGGAGATGCTACGTTCATGTAGATTGTAGGTCCTGAACGGACCTACAGTGTCAGTGTCACAGAGGGCTGTGGGCCTTTGATAAGGCTGGTAGCAGATGGGAAGAAACTGTTCTAGTGGCATGAGGTTTTGGTCCTGATAAACCGCAGCCTCCTGCCAGAGAGAAGCGACTGAACTAGTTTGTGACTGAGATGCAAGGGATCAGCCACAATCTTCTCTGCAGGGGACGGAAACGTTATTTATTAATCTTTTGTTAAAAATTGATAATGTGAAAATTATTATTAACAGAGAAAGCGTTTTGTTGGCATTACATGGATCACAGCCTTTTTTGCAGTCCGACAACATGGCGTTCCTGTTAGGAATCCAGTCTGTGTGGGTTGTGTTTTTGTGTTTTCCCCCTCCACCACCAGGTGGCGCCCTGTGCCCGTTGGTTCTCCCACACACCTGCGGCTGGTTGGCTCATTACTGAGGACTTCTTAATCGGCGGACTGTCACTACTTTGACGCCAGAGTGTTTGCCAGTTTTGGGTACTCTAGGCAAGCTGAGTTTAGCCGAGTCTAACTGAGTCTTTGTTTCTCTGATTCTAACATGATTTTTGTCTTTTGCCTTTCGGCAGGAAGTCATCCTGCATACTGAATGTTTGGCCTTCTCCCCCTGGAAGGATTGTTTGAGCTTCACACTGAGCAGAGGATTAATCTCCCCACGTCCCGTTCAAGTTCTCCAGGAAATCTAAGTGGCAGTCCGCTCCATCGCTCCTCAGGAACCAACCAAACCAAAACCTGTCCGCCCTCCAACGAGCCCCTTTATCTCTGGACAAACCCATACCGACTGGATTCTGGGAAGAAACCTTTCTCCGTAATCGTGAGTCCCATTTATCTCTGTTTTTACAAGACGTTGTTCAAAGTTCCCACAGACCCTTAACTAACCTCTGTGAACTTTCCTTCTCAATTCCAGTTCCGGTTCACCTGCTCTCTGAGTTCCCCTGAATCCAACCCATTTGAACTCCTCAATAAACCTGTTAAACTTTTACTCTGGTTTTCTCTGAGTGGTTTTTCTGCATGTGGGTCAGATCTCTTAAATAAATCATGACAGTTCCCCAAACCGTGTTTGACAGGTGGGGGAGTGTTCTTCTAACTGAAAGCTTAACCTTGACCGTTATTGGGACCTAATGACCAAAAAACATTACTCAAGATAACATTTGGTAGCTGCCATTTTTACCTGAGCTTGAAGGGGAGCATGGGGCTAATTCTTCCTCTCAATGAACCAAAGATCCTGTACAGCAGGGGTGTCAAACTGGTTTCAGAAAGGGCCGTGTGGCTGCTAGTTTTCTTTCCTCCCAAACAGTAGCACACCAGATTCCAGTCATCCCAAAGCAGATTAGAATTATTTCTTTAACCTAAACCTTACTAACCAACTTGAGGTGGATGTATGCAAACTCTACATTGCAAAAGGTACTAACTCACTCTAAACACAGAGGAATTTAAGCATCATCCTCTTTATAATTCGAAGTTTGTTTCACTTCAAATTATTCTTTCAGAATTGCATCTGCAGGGTCAGAACCTAGTGCTGGACAAGACAAAGTGGGTCACAGTTTTTACTGCATGGTTTAGTAAAGATGAATTAGTCACTCGTGATCTTCAACATCGATATGTTTAAGGTTCTCACTCTCTGCATGGGCCCACAGTTGTGTTCGAACAGAAAGGCCTCATCCTCATACTTTCCATACAGAACTGGAAGTTCTGTATGAAACTGGAAGTTGAGCCCAACTCCTGAATAAAAGCCTTCCCACCATATTTCCCAACACAAAGAAGCTGAAATTTAGCAGTCAGCAGGATTTCTTGACAGAGAGGCATGCTTCGCCACTCTAATGGTGTCCTGTGGCAGCTCAATTTAAACCACAGGATCTGCTCCTCTGCATTGCATGGAGAGGTTTATAGCTTGCCCAAGGTCTACACACATTTGGAGACCTGTATGTTTTGACAGTGCAGAAAGCTGAAAACTTCAACAACCCAGTATCCTCTGACCTCTCTCTGTGATTTTGAGTTATCTACCAAATTCAAAAACAGGCCTAAATCAGAGGCGACCGGACTTTCGCTCAGTTTTCAAATGAACCCCTATCCAGGAGTCTTCGTCATTAAAGCAGTTTGAAGTTTAGGTGCTGATGATTTGAATCACCATGGAGGTCCACCCTCCCAAGCACAGGTCAGATGCAAATTAAAGACCCAACCATCGTTTTCCTAGGTCATGGAAGTCGTAATCTTTGGCCATTTTAATCACAATGAGGGCACTTTTGTAACCTTTTCGGTGTGACTTCCAGGACCGAAGTGTAGATTCTGAGAAGCTAAAACCACAATAATCCCCTTATAGTTTAGTGGGGTGAAAGTCTGGTTGCTCCTACATTAACCCGATTTTGTGGTTGCAATCAAAGTGCCATTTCTCAGCTGTTTCTCTGTTGTTACTTTTACTGTTAATCTCTTTCACTGTGGTGTAGAATGTTGAGGTATGTCATTTTCAGTCACAGGCTCCAAAGGAAGGCCAGGAGAGATAATGATAAAGTGGTTGTAGCTCACTCAGCCTCCCTCATGGCATGAACAGGAGGACGACTGTTCTGAGAAGTTCCATCTGCCCAGTGGAAGATGTATTAACCTAACAGGAAATTTCCTTGGTGGGGTGGAGAGTGTGTGTTGGGAATAACCAATATTCACGTGTAAGAAAGTTCTTTATATGCAGGGATGAAAAGCCACCCCAGTCAGCGCTTTTTCTCTCCGTCTGCAGATGTAAAATAAATATGTTCTTCCTTGCAAGAATTGCCTTAGTCTCACTTTTCTACAACTCCACAACTTCTTCAGAAAACCTAAGCTTGTTGACTGTTTCATGGCTGGATTTATTCCACCGGTAGAATCCTAAAACGGTGACGCTGGAATTCATTAGGCTCCTAAAAGCAACCTGTTGATTTATAAATGCTTGTAGAAACATCCTGCAGGCCTAAGTGCTGTTTTTTACCCACTTGCATTCCATAGAAGACAAAACACTATAGGGGAGTAGAGGTTTCTTGGAATAAAGTACGTAAGCCTCCCTGTTTAAATTGAAAGTTTCAAACTTAATCTGTCTTGTTTTCTTTTTTTTTAAGAGCAAGGAGGTCATTGGTGTTATCAACAGTATTATGTGCTTTCATAGCATGACATTAATTAAACATCCATCCGTAATATGATTGTACATGAACCTCTAACCCCGACTGTGAGCCCAATAAGTGGAAACCAAATTAATTGATAACACCTTATTCATTTTAAATGACTAATTCCCTTGACTTCATCCACAGGCTTCTGACCCACATTAAAGTCGAACCAAGACATTACATAAACAGCATTACCACCTGATTAATGGTTTCTAATCACGTCAACGTTATAAAGAGATTAAGTCCATTGTTAAGTCGGCTGTGTTCTCTCTGTAGGTTATATAAAGCTGCAGCTCATCTGGGTTCATCATGTTGATTAAGACAACACTAAATATGGGAAACTGTTTACATAAAACAATGTTGTTGGGTCATAATTATGTCAAGGTTTGAAATGAAGATAAATATGAGCCAAATGTGGTGACTAAATTCATTTTAATAATATCAGTTGTAATTCATTACAACAAATACAAAAAAATTCACATAAATTTTTTTTTATAACTTTTGGTCATGATATAAACACACTATATACAGGCAATAAAACAAATAAGATATTCAACTAAAGGTAATAAAACACCATCACCGCTACCACCATCCTACATCTCCACTGGTGGACTATGTTAGTAGTGGCAGGTGGATGGTGAGTAAGGTGCAAAGGAAGAAAGGGGGGGGTTAGACAATTAGGTACTGAGGACTAGGAAGATGTTGGTGGAGGGGACGTGGGTTCATATTTTCCATTTTCGCTGCTTTCGCTGAGTTGTCTGGTCCTAACCATTTCCTTGGCGATGCAGGTCACCTGCCCATTGGACACTGTTAAGGATCCATTCCTACAATACAAATCAAGCTTTAGTTTAACATCTATCTCAAAGCATAAATATTCCCACATGGTGGTTTTATCCACATGTTAGCCCACTCACCTCTGATCAGAGCCATTTTGCATAGTGAGCTGGTTCTGCTTTGCAAAGAAGAACGAAGTCCACCAGTGACCAGAGTCTTGCCTTGGAAGTGCTACAAGAAACACATGTTATATTAACCTCCTTTGTGATGCAGGGGGATGCAATTTCATTTATATGTTGCAGTAATAAACTTGGCTCCTTTCCATACCTGGATGGTGTGGAATAACCTCCCCAGTGTACTCGGAGCTCCCACAAGAGCTGCTACTGGAGTTGGACCCGAGACGTCCTAAGAGAAAGAAACCGTTATGTTAACATTTTGTAGACTTCTCCAGAAAAAAAAAAAGGTTTCATTTAATAATTATGCCCTATAAGTCGTGCGTTACTTACTTCTATAGTAGTCATGTGTGGCGATAAGAGAGCCACTTGATGGGATTGCGGCCATTTTGTCCTGCGTTTGAAAACCACTCAAAGAGGGTGAATAGTAACCTATGGGAACACCAACATATTAGGATGGTCAGTATAATAAAATAAGATAAATTAAACAACAAAACAAATAAAATACATGAACTAATTTCCCATCTGGTGGTCCATTAAGTCAAAGTCAATACTTCTGTTGAACTCTCTTGCTTGCCAGCCAAGTAGTCCAGAACAAAAATAAAGCCATTATTGTTCTCTTGGCTACTACATGGGGTTAAAATCAGTAGCAGCTGGCTGTCAGTGTCAGGTTTCTCCAAACTTCAATGATAGGAATGCGTTGGGAGAACGTGCCCACATGTGTACCAGGGTGAGGTGCATGCACTGGCTGCATGGCACACTTGAGAACATTTGGTCATCCTCATAATCATAGAGGAAGTGAGATTAGACTCCACTTCCAATATAATATATATATTTTTTAAATATACCTCATGAATCAAATAATGGGTTTCATTTTGTTCTGAGATTTAGGCAACATGCTCTCAGCCTGCAGAACCAGTTTAAAGCTGTTCAGCTTAACTCTAAATAGCAGACGGATTTGGGGATTTCACTGAGACAAACCTGTATAAACACTTTGTGGCCTATAATCTCAGCCAATGCACAAACACACAGTTTGAAAGAATTTAATTTATCTTCAGATACATAAAAAAAAAACAAAAAACAAATCCATGATAACATTTTGTTTATTACCAATTGATGCAAAAAGAATACAGTTAAAGATTATTCAGAATGTTTTTCATGCAAAACTGTTTTAAGGGATTTTGAAAATTGAGATAAAAAAAATAAAAATAAAATTAATCTATGGTTTGTTATTTCTAATCATTTTTGATGGAGCAAAGGCTGTATATCTGACTTACCTACAGAGAGGGTGGATGGTTTGTAGTAGAAGCGAGGGTAGCTGTTGGATGACTATGGTTCGTCTGTGGACCGATAACCTGTAAGGACTGCTGTGGATCACTGCAATGCTGTGGTCACACAGGCTGCCTCACCGGAGGCTTTTATAGCAGAACAGCGGTCGTCTTCAGCTTGTGGGCGGAGCCGTGTGGGGAGCTTCAGAGCAGGAACGTGCTACGTGTGCTCCGTGACATGCATTAAGTGGCCACGGTGACACCAGCTGAGGAGAGCATTTTTAGGAAGCTTACAGGAGCTTTACTTAACCCGGTGGCAAGGAGCCATGAATGTGTCCTGTAGTCTATCAGCCTATCAGATAGTCATTGACAGAGATGGCACATTTTCAGGGAGAAATACCCTGAAAGTGTTTTTTTCAAGAAAACAATGTGACCATCATCCTATCTGGAAACCAAATACATCGCACAGACGACCACAAAAACCAACTGTGTAGCGTTCAAATAAATCGGACTGTGGTGAAAACACAAACTCCCTGGTGGTCTAGTGGTTAGGATTCGGCGCTCTCACCGCCGCGGCCCGGGTTCGATTCCCGGTCAGGGAACATATCTTTTGCCAAGTTTTTCTCAGTTACATGGGATAGATGTGTGTAACACCATATCAACGTAGCATTGTTTGATATTTATATTAATTAAAACTTTATTGTAGTTTGCATAGGCTATGTTGTTCTGAATATCAATAAGACATCTGAAATAAAAACGAAATCTTTGGCGCCATCAAAAGGAACAAATGTGCCTTTGCAAATTCTATACAGCAAAACCGGTATAAATCGGACACAACCAGACTTTCGCTCAATCTTAAACCGGTCCTGCCTGGTTCTGAACTTATCCATTTTGGTTGTGTACGATTTAAAGCTAATTTATGGTTTACAAATATAATCATATGTAACATTTCTCAAATACATGAAATAAATAAAAGGGAGTAGCAGATTTACAGTTAAGATTAATATGAACACTGTTAATGTCAAGTATGAAGTATTGTATGCCAAACATTTTCTGTTTGTATTATTATATATATAACATTTGTATTTGTAATAATATTAAAAAACAGATTAAAATTATGATTACTGTTAGGTAATTTTATTATCCATTTTTTCAAGTCATCAGTAAAAGGAAAACACCTCTATCTCCCTCTTGTTGGATTTTATATGAAATAGAAGAAACTGGGTGTAAATGTGTGTAGTAGGTCACTTTAACAATTTCTATTTTTCTCTTTGTTCTGTAATATGAAGCAGTTACTTGGCAACAATAAGTACATTGGACTGAGCGTATGCTAATGCCTTTACTTGGAAAATCTAATATTACAAAAATACTTTGTAATACTTCAAAAGACAGATAGAAGCACATCAAAAACAGCATGTTAACATGAACACATTTCATCGTAATATGAAACTTTCAAAGTATTAAAATTTTTACACAGTACTTTTATTACTGATATCCAAATAATTTGACTTAAACGCTTAATATTGCACATTCTATCTCTTAATCTGCAAAGAAACTCCAGAGAGCAGTAGAAGACGTCACATTGATGAGGGAAAGTGATAACATTTTGTATTTTGGAGAAGATCAGTTTATTTCAGGTTTGGTTGGTTGTGTAAAGATCTTTTTTCGAATCCAGAGGTCCCTTCATTGCTTGATACCCCTCCAGTCACTTTATCCTTGGGATATAAGATACAATTAATCAGAACCCACATCATAGAAACTGTTGTTTTTTTATTTGTCTTTGTAAAACTCTCACCTTAACACTGCCAACGATTTCTTCAATGGACTTGAATGTAGAGGAATGTCTTCAGATAAACATGAAGATGGCATAAACATTTAGAGTTCCACATTAATTATCATCCATAAAGTGGAAAATAAATAATTTTCTCTTTACTATTTTGAGTTGTTTTACCTCATGGATGGCACACTTATAGTGTGGCTCAGGGTGCTGAGTGAAACAAACATGAGTTTAGTTAATGCTTTTAGGCAGAATGCTAACAAATCTGATATCTTTCTTAATTAAATTCTGAATATTAAGAGTGTAAACAGCTTGGATCTTACCGTGGTGAGCTCGGGAGAGGCAGGGCTCTGTTGAGTTTGCAGCATTAATAAAAAAGGAAAAAAGTAGATATAACATAGGATAAAGGGGGTGGACTCAGGTTTCAGCTCTCAAAAACCAATGCAGTTTCTCTCATTTCAACCTCCCACCCCCATGCAGGGGACAAAACATCTCGCCTGGGCAGCCAAGCAAGCAATTCCCCCTCACAACCCCCTTTCAGAGGCATAGACCAGTACTGAGTATTACAGGTAAACAAAGAACCCAAAACGACTCCCCATCTCCCCTTTCCTCAGGAGCGGACCCATTCTTCTGGTTCAATTTGCATGTTTTCTAAGCTAAAACAAGTTTTTGGGTTACTATATAAAGCTTTGAACTCAACGCTAAATCTGGCATTTTGAACTGAAAAGCGTCCTGGATGGGAAGAAAAACATCTTCAAACTCGGAAACCAAGTCCAGTGGATTGTTTTTTAACTTTTTTGGATAAACATAGGATACGGTACATTTTCTCCTATCCTGATAAAATCCTGATATCCAGCTCCATCTGACAAAAAAACAGAAATCTGGGTACATGATTATATTAGATCTATGGCTTTCTTAATATGTGTCGTTGTTAGAGAAGAGCCTGAATACACAGACATCATCTTTTATTTTTAAAGTACCTTAAGTTTGAACATATTTACTTTTTCCTCAAAACCTGCCACATTTTGTTTGTCTGTTTTTTGAATACTATTTTCCTTAATAAAATCTGTGGCAGCACCTTTAGTCTAAGCTTATTAGTTATCTGGGAAGGTTTTCAGTAAGCCTATCAGTAATTTACACTTAGACAAACTATTAACATTTTGTATACACTCTGTGTGTACAAAAAAAAGCGATGCATACAGCTTTTCAACGAATGAGCAGCTTACAGCATTGAAATGAACATTTCCATTTATAATGTGCAGCAGTGATCAAAATGTAAACAGTGTAGGAGAAAAGGCAAACCAGTCTTAAGGCATGGTGCAAAAGGCATTTATATGGAAGGTTCAGAACATTGCAAAAATGAATAAATAAATATGGTGCGAAATGCAGTAGAACACTAAGATTAGTTCTATTTAAAGGGATTTGAAAATTTGTGCAAATATGGTGTTTACAGTAGAGGCTCGATTTGTGGCTTGATTGGAGCTGTTACAAAACTTGCTGGACCTGCATCGAATGCTGCAAAGCCTCTTCCAAGGGGGGCAGCAGGGAGAACAGTCCATGCTGGGGTTGTGAGGGGTCATTAATGATGTTAAGGGCTCGGGAAATACAGCGCTTCGATGAAATGTCTTTAATGGGATTCTTCCAGTCTGAGGAGCTGCAGCCTCCACAACACACAGTCAGACAACTGATCAGAATGCTCTCTTTGGTGCTTCTGTAGAAGGTTGTGTAATTTAATTTTGTTGTGATCCATTGTGAGCTATGTCCAGACATCCAAAGCCTGGTCCCAAATGAGCCAAACTGCTTTTTTTTTTTACTGCCTTAAGTGTCCATTGTTTGATTGAACTGAAGAAAGCTGACCTTTGTGCTGGCCGTAGCTCACTGGATAATTTAATGGTTGTGAGTGAGACTCAGGTTTCTCCCAACATGTCAAAGTAGTCACAACAAACAACTTTATTACCTATCTGTTTCAATGAGATTTGCAGTGCTAAAAAAAATGTGCGGTAAGATTTGTGTTTTAGATCCACCCACTTACATTCTATGACTTCACTAATCTAAATGTTATTTGATGCTGATGGGTAACTCCACTGTCATTCAAAGCCTTAAAAATATTTTCTTTAAAATTAAACATAGTAAGACAGAACTTCTTTAGGCTTAACATATATTAACACACATTTGATAAATTACTGGTTTTGTTTAGTGTAGATAAAAGCATTTTAATGTTTTTTTTTTTTTCCAGTAATCAGGTTGTAATTCTTAGTGGTAACTGAGGCTAGACTTTACTGCAGGAACACCATGCTGAGTTCAAATTCTTTCTACATGGAGTTTGCATATTCTCCTTATGCATGATGGGATTTCTCTCCAGGTACTCCATTTTCCTCTCACAGTCTAAAAAATGATAAGGGTTTGGTCATTTTGTCTCTCTAAATTGCCATTATTTATGAGTGTGTGCCTGTGCATGGCTGTCTCTGTGTTGCCCTGTGTTGGACTGGCGCCCTCTACAGGTCAAACTCCACCTCTCTCGCCCAATGGCTCCTGGTACACACAATGAACGAATAAGAGTAACTTGTTGAACAGGTATTGTTTTTCTGGAAGGCATTTTATATATATATTTTTTGTCTTTTATTGTTTAATTAACCATTAACCAGATTTTTAATTATGTGTTTCAGTCACATAAAAGAGAAAACTTGTTCTTAAAAAAACAACTTACACAATATATGTCATTTAACGTAAAACAAAATCTATTTATTGTTTATTGTGCAGTGGAAGGAAGCAATTAGCTTAATTAGCAGTAATATATTCTGGCATTTGTATAGATATAGATAAAATTAGTAGCAAAATATGAATATGCCTTTATATTAAATTTGTATGTTTTCTAAGCCAAACAAGGCTTTGTTTTTTGGTCCACTCTATAAAGCCTTGAAATCAACGCTAACTCTGACATTTTGTGTTGAAAAAGCTTCCTGGATGGGAAGCGAAACGTCTTCAAACTTGGAAACAAAGTCCAGTGGATTGCTTTTTAACTTTTTTAGAATATTTTTGCTCAAAGCTTTTTTCCCTGTTTTCATGTGGCCCGATTAAAACTGGAAAACGTGCAGGACAAAGTTGGACCAACTATGGCTGTACCTCATCTGTGCCAGTCTTCTGGTGATGGCCACGCCCACATTGGACAGGGCAGCAGATGTCACCTGGCCTGCTTGAGACAGACCATCTCGTGTCCTCAAAATTCTGCAGATAATAGATAAAATTAAAAAAAGCAGTTAAAGTGGGTGTCTGATCAAACAAAGCTCTGCGCGTTTCTGTGTGTTATGTAACAGAGTCCAGTGAGCACATACAATAGACAAAGGAACAAAATGACATGTAAACAACAATAAGCTTATGTGCGTCAGTCGTCACACTCCATCTGGCTGCAGCAGATCCCTTGCTTACTCTTTGAAACAAACACTTGAGGCTTGTCATGGTGTGACTTTGTAAAGTCACGGCCTCCTGTGCTAAGTCAGTCTGTGGGGCTATTATCAGGGCGCCAATCCTATTTGACATGGAAAATCCCATCACTTGATTCTCAGAAGGGAGCTCACTTTAGGAAACATGAACAGGGAGAAATGTTGACGAGATCCAAATGTTTTTTAAAGTATATACATTTATGCACAAATAATGATTACAAAGACTCACACGTTGGACTTGCTGATGTCCTCCAGAGTCGCAGAGGCTGTGAGATATCTGAAATGACAAAACATGCATAGGTTGACAGATTAGTGAGCTGACCTAAAAGGACAGCCTCGATCATTGTCAGTTTCCCTCTTTTGTTTATGTAACCATATCAAACAATCAAAGTGAGGATAAAATGTTATGTGACATGACAGTACATTAAGTTAAACTGCACCAGTATTTTGCAGAAATCTTTGCATGTGAATGTGTGTATGTGTTTGTGAATGTCTGAGTGCACCCACGGAGCTGAGGTCTGGACTTCCTGCCAACCTTTGGACAGATTCTGTTTCATGCAGCTGAGGGGACTCATTCCAAGCTGCCTCCTGATATCTGCTGCATATTTTTCTTTTGCCAAAAGAACCTGCCTCAACGTCTGAATCTCATCCTCTGTCTATGCGAGTGGAAACAAAACATTGCATTCAGAAGAAAATATCCTTTCAGCTTGCTTTTTAAACACATTGCACCAAACAGAGAACTACCTTTGTAAGCTCAAAGCGTAGACTGTCCAGGTCTTCTTCTCCTAGACTTGTGTGAGAGCATCCATTACCTGTAGTCCTTGTGGAAAAGTTCAGTGACGAAGACGTCCCATTAAATGCTTTGAAACAGAGACAAGAGAAATATTAAATTTAGAAGATGAGATTGACAAACCAGGAGGGAAAAGAAGAGAAAACATTGTAAGGGACATCTATGAGAATTACTGTGTTTTAGCATAAGTATAATTGTTTGACAAGGTTTTTGAGTGATAAAAAAATCTCATTTGGAACCTACATAATACTTAGCTTCTAGGCAGGCTGTCAAATAATAATAGTGAGTAAAAGAGAGATATACTTGTTCTTTACACCATATCCATCTGTATTATTGTTAATAAGTCTTGATTTATATCATTTAGATTAAGATCAGTAGTATACAAATTGCTTAAATAAGTGAAGCAATAAGCTAAAAAATTTGTAAAGCAGATAACCAAACGATAATTATCAGTCAACTTAAACTCTGCAGTTCTAAATCTGTACTATAATTCACTTCTTTTAAAAGAAGTACATTCAAAAAAATCTTAATTAGTATATTTTATTAGTCTTATTCTTGGTATTTAAATGTGCGGTTGAAATCTTAAAATAACTCACAATTAAATTGATTTCTAAATTAACTTGTTTGTTTAGCCCTATTTATCTTTAAAATATTCCGAATTTACTAAACAAGTACAAATGAGAAGGGGGAAAAAAAGACAATCTAAGAAATATGCAAATTTATAAGAACAATAAAACTACAAGTTCAAGGATGAGAAATAACAGAACTTACATAAACAAGTTGTTCAATGCATTTGTTTGTTGTGTTGTTCCTGATTTTATATACAGGTGCTGGTCATAAAATTAGAATATCATGAAAAAGTAGATTGATTTCAGTAATTCCATTTAAAAAGTGAAACTTGTATATTATATTCATACATTACATACAAACTCATATATTTCAGATGTTTATTTTGTTTAATTTTGATGATTACAAATGACAACAAATGAAAATCCCAAATTCATCATATCAGAAAATTAGAATATTACTGAAGACCAATAAAAACAAAGGATTTATAGAAATGTTGGCCAACTGAAAAGTATGAACATGAAAAGTATGAGCATGTACAGCACTCAGTATTTAGTTGGGCCTCCTTTGGCCTGTATTACTGCAGCAATGCGGCGTGGCATGGAGTCGATCAGTCTGTGGCACTGCTCAGGTGTTATGATAGCCCAGGTTGCTCTAATAGTGGCTTTTAGCTCTTCTGAATTGTTGGGTCTGGTGTATTGCATCTTCTTCTTCACAATACCCCATAGATTTTCTATGGGGTTAAGGTCAGGAGAGTTTGCTGGCCAATTAAGAACAGGGATACCATGGTCCTTCAACCAGGTACTGGTAGCTTTGGCACTGTGTGCAGGTGCCAAGTCCTGTTGGAAAATGAAATCTGCATCTCCAAAAAGTTGGTCAGCTGCAGGAAGCATGAAGTGCTCTAAAACTTCCTGGTATGTGGCTGCGTTGACCCTGGACCTCAGAAAACACAATGGACCAACACCAGCAGATGACATGGCACCCCAAACCATCACTGACTGTGGAAACTTACACTGGACTTCAAGCAACGTGGATGAAGTGCCTTTCTTCTTTTCCTCCAGACTCTGGGACCTTGATTTCCAAAGGAAATGCAAAATTTACTTTCATCAGAGAACATGACTTTGGACCACTCACCAGCAGTCCAGTCCTGTTTCTCTTTAGCCCAGGCAAGACGCTTCTGACGCTGTCTGTGGTTCAAGAGTGGCTTGACACAAGGAATGCGACAGCAGAAACCCATGTCTTTCATACGTCTGTGTGTGGTGGTTCTTGAAGCACTCACTCCAGCTGCAGTCCACTCTTTGTGAATCTCCCCCACATTTTTGAATGGGTTTTGTTTCACAATCCTCTCCAGGGTGCGGTTATCTCTTGCTTGTACACTTTTTTCGACCACATCTTTTCCTTCCCTTCGCCTCTCTATTAATGTGCTTGGACACTGAGCTCTGTGAACAGCCAGCCTCTTTAGCGATGACCTTTTGTGTCTTGCCCTCCTTGTGCAAGGTGTCGATGGTCGTCTTTTGGACAACTGTCAAGTCAGCAGTCTTCCCCATGATTGTGTAGCCTATAGAACTAGACTGAAAGACCATTTAAAGGCTTTTGCAGGTGGTTTGAGTTAATTAGCTGATTAGAGTGTGGCACCAGGGGCCATCAATTTTGAACCTTTTCACAATATTCTAATTTTATGATATGATGAATTTGAGATTTTCATTTGTTGTCATTTGTAATCATCAAAATTAAACAAAATAAACATCTGAAATATATGAGTTTGTATGTAATGTATGAATATAATATACAAGTTTCACTTTTTAAATGGAATTACTGAAATCAATCTACTTTTTCATGATATTCTAATTTTATGACCAGCACCTGTATAAGGCTTACATATTTTTGTGCACACACTGTTGAATTAGGTAGTTTCAAACACCTAGGTGTTACCGCTTCGTTCTTTTCACAGTTCAATTTTCTTTGATCACACAAAAAGCAATCTTTTGATGTTACATGAGCGACTGAGTGCTTATTTTAATGTTTAATCAGATTGATACAACGCTGCAAGGCAAAAGAGGCTTTTACAGTTTCAAATATAAATGAAAGATAGAAGAAAAGGAAAACAATAAAACAAAACAACTTAGTTATAAACCTTATTCAGATCAACGCATCAAAAAATCTAAAAAGTTTTGTTTACTTAAAGTATAGAAAATATAAAAAGAAATTATTTTGATTCAATTTGTTTAGTCATAAATTAATAAAACACATAAATAAAAACATACAGATTGTTTTTCATAAATGTAGATAAAATATAATTTTCTGTGTTTATCAACAAAATTTTTCGTCTGTAGTTTAAATGTAAACGTCTGTGGTATGAGAAATTTTAGACTTAAATTTTTAGCTTCATTTCAGCAAACCTGAACTACTTTCTTCTATCAGAAATTAGCATTTAGAAAGGTTAAGACAAACATGTTGAATTGCAACTTCTAATTTCCAATTTTTTTAAAGAAAGCAGAAGAATATTGTCCTGTTTTTCCCCCTGTAATCTGTTGGAGCTGTCCGCGGTCCTGAAGTCATTCCTTCGCAGACTATCAAGCTAACAGGCTAACTTGTTGCGTGCGGTGCAAACGTCAGCATAAAGTCACCAAAACAAGCAAGCAACACAAAAAAAAGTAATTTACCTAAAAAAAAGTAAAGAAATAACTTCGTATATCAAACACACAACAACCTATAAACAATATGAGTTGGTCTTACCTTGTCGGTTCATCGCTGCTTTGTTCACTTGGAAGTGTTTTGATTAGCTAACTGCTGCCAAGTGTCTCCATCCAGTTAGCTGAGCTCAGAATATAGCAGGGAGCAATCTGATCACTGAGGCTATTATTGGGTCCACTCTCTCACACACTCGGTAATCTCAGTAAACGACAACAGCGGGATATAATGAGGAACACAGAGATACTCATGCCAGCTTCAGGCATCTCTATCTTCTTTCTTAATCTTTGCAAGCGTAAATAGTGTGCCCACAAAAATATACACAGCAAGAAATGTCTAAACTGGATAGATGCCTTCAAAAATAAATAAATAAACAGCGAAGAAACAACAACAATAGCCTTTTATTGTGACTGAGTGAGCAGAGCACAGAGAAAACCCAAAAACCAGTCCAGCAGAAAATTATTTTAGAAAAATGACAAACACAGAGAAAAGAGAACAGTAGAATATGGCTTTATCTGAGAGAAAGATAGTTAAATGTTGCAGAGGAAAGCAAATGGGACTAAAGAAAGGAAGAAAAAGCAGTAACTTTAGTTATGTATTCAGTAGAATCATAATAGCCTTCTTAAAAAGAAAGATACATTTCTAGTTTATTTGTATACTGCTTGACTACCAAAATATTGATTGATAAATCTTCTAAATTCAAATATTCTTCTTATCTCATTGTGTGTTGATTCTTATGCTTTTTATTCCCTTTACTTTTAATCTATGTCCTGCTTTTCTTAAGAGTATTCCTAAGTAAATTTAGCTTGGTTCCATAACTTTATGTATAATATGATAGGAAAAGAAAGAAATTGACGCGTACTCGTTGAATTTGGTACAAAAACAAAATTCAGCATTGTGGCAAATAAAATAGAGTCAGACTAGTCAGAGAACTTCACTCTTAATTGAATTGCTGTATATTTGTCTCCACCTGGTGGTAGAAATCAAAACTACGTCCACACGATGAGCAGCCACTTGCGTGTAAAAAATACAGTATTTTTTATTATAATTAACCATAATAATAATAATACTAATAAAAACTGCATGGATAAAATATTACACCTTTATAATCAATTGACTGGTTTCCATAGATTTTTCTACATGTCTAAGTTTTGGTACAATATTCTTCAAAAATAATTATTGAGTACAATAACCTCATCACCACATAAATAAAACCTTGGTCATTAGAAATAAAATATGAAGACAGGAGTCAAAATGTTGAGGAACATTTATTCAACAGCAAATTAGATCAATGATGCACTTGTTTTCTTCCAGACACACAGTTACCATGCTAGAACATAAATGTCAAGGTTTATACTTTATATGGGCCAAGTGTATTTACCGGCAGCTTCAACCATTAAACCATCCTTGGCTGGATTTAATGGTTACATTACGACACCATACCATTTAAAATGACCAGAAATCCAGCTTTAAAACATGACAGAATATGAAATAAAATAAACTCTTCAAAATTCATCATATAACCATTTCACTATAGTTACACAATATAGTATTTTTTTGGAGTCATTTCCTGATCCATTAGATTTTTTTTCAACACATGGTGCATTCAGCTGAGAACGTTTACAGTAGCATTTTTCAGTATTTCGATGAAAAAGCCATGACAGGAACATCTATGTTGCATCGAGGGGTTACAGGAAACATCATACTAGGGCCACAGAGGTCAACATCCATACCATTAATAGCAGAGGGGTGGGCTACGGGGGCTCACCATTTGTAAACCATTTAAACACATCAGTTGCTGTCATGAAGCAGCAAAAATAGCAAAGATGTACACGGGGGAAAAATAAAGTAATATATAGAAAATATTTCTTTCCCTTAGAGATGCAAATGGCATGTTTTAAAAGTCAACGATGATAAACAATCACAGCATCAGACAAAAGATCAGGTTTATTAGATTTAAAATAAAATTCAGGAAGAGAGCGATGTTTAGTCTTCGGGTTTTCTAATAGACAAAAAAAAAAAAAAAAAAAGCTTGCTAGAAGTGCAGCTGAACAATGTTGGGCTCCTTGACTTGATGCAATGAAATAATTAAAACAGCTGGGATGAGATGAAGCTTTAAAGAATTGAGATTATTGATGCAGAATGAAATAAAATAAGATAAACTCATTGTGCTTAATATAACAAAATCAGAAAAATGTTTGCATCATGTGCAGATGGAAAAACTGGAGTTCCTTGGCTTAATGCAGAGTAATAAAAATCAAATTAAACTGAATGAGGTGCAGCTTTGCAAAGACGGACCTACTGCTAAACAAAGAAATAACAGAACAGTTACAACCAGCTCTGATGGGGATGGTTTTAAAATACTTAAGCTTCGTGAAGAAAAAGGTTTTGTTTGAGAGTTTTTCAGATTTTTGCATCCAAGGTTAATGTCACTGTTAAGCTGCTGATATGACAAAATAAGGATGGGATGCAAAATACGGGATTTTTAATGTGAAATGGACCAAATCTATTACAGTAGTTTGCACCAGAATAAAAATGACAGCCTGCTGCGGTGAGGCACAGAAGGCTGTCTGTGCCCTTTCTGCTGTGATTGAACATGAAGCTGATGATAAATAAATATCTAAAGCATAAAGGTTTTCCACGCAGGTATTCATGAACAGCTTAGGGGCAACATAGAAGAGACAAAGAAAATAAATGTCAAAGCTTGCTCTGTGCTGAAAAAAATACCAATCACAAATCAAAAAAGTGCAAATCTGGGGATATATCAGTTCTATAAAGTTTAATGATGGCACTGAGCACCTGAATCTTTATGTATATTTCTTACCAGCACTTCCCTGATGAGCCAGAGCTCCCTGTTCCTCCTGCATAAAAAAAATCTATCACCCTCTACCTCCTCCTTCTGGTAAGCTGTGCTCATTTTAACATCTCTGCACATGTGTCATGAGTCTTGTTAATAAGTAAAACGGTTGCCAAGGAGTAAAAAAAATATAGGAACAATGCTTTTTTTTCACACAGTGCATGCTACACTATGATGCAAACAATAGGAGAGGGGGAAGCAGGGTGGGGGACCTGTGTGGTTAAAGTGCAAAAGAAGAAACCAAAGGTTTTAGTTGTTTCACTTTCCTTCCTGCACATTGGAAAGGTACGATCAGGGAAGGATGGGAGGGGATGTGACTTCATTAGTTCCTCTGAAAAGGCCATGCTGACAAGTCCACTTTCCTCTGCATGGCTGTTCTTCTCACATGGAAGGATGAATTTGCCTTTTTCTTTCATCTCACTGAGGTGGAGCAGGGAAGCAGGCGGGAACCTGGACTGGGACGGGTGGGAGCGGAGGGATTAGTTGAAGCCGGTATCGGTGTGGTAGGAGTAATGCCCATCTGATGTTAGCTGGGTTGTCTCTGTTGCCGATGGCTGCAGCACTATGGGCTCACCAGCAGCCTCTGTTTGGGAAACAGGAACCACATTTCAATACCTGCTCCTATCTCTCTAACAAGACATTTAACTCGTATATTTTGGCTTACCTCTTTCATCAGACTGCAGCTGAGCCTCCAGGTCCTCGGGGGACACATAGAAGTCCTGCTCCTGGCCCTCTCGAGGCCGGGGTTTACATCGTCCACAGCAGCAGTTACAGCAGCAGCACAGGCAGCAGCAGAAGTAGCATCCAGTGGCCAGACCACAGAATACAAACAGTGCCTAGAAACAAGCAGATCCAAACTAAAAATGCATCTGAAAACATGTAATATAATCAACAAATTTAAATTGTTTCAGAAAAGAAATTATAGACTATGTAGAGTCATACACAGTCAGATTTATGACTTCCGGCTAATAATAACCAAGAGTTACATTCAACAAAAAGTTAGAATATTACAAAAGACCAATAAAAATGTTTTTTCTATAGATTTTCTCTAACTTTTATAGCTTATCTGTGGGGTTTAGGTCAGGCCAGTCAGCTACCTGAATCGAACACTGGTTCAATTGTCATTTAATATGTTGCTGATAGTTGGTAGTAGCACTGTGGGCAGGTGCCAATCACTGCTCAATAAGGGAGATCTGCATCTAAATAAAACTCGTAAGCAAGATCAGGGCAGCTTGGAGTATTTTCAACACTAACTTCTAAAACAAAGTGTATTGTGAGTTGATGACACGGCTCCAAAAATCACTGAATGAGGGAAACTTCCCACTGAACTGCAAACAGCTTGCGTTCTGTGCATCTCCAGTTCACCTTCAGACTCTGGGATATTCATTCCAAATTAAAAAATGAAGTTGTATAAGAAAAAAAGGTCAATTTTCTCTTCTTAGCTCAGAGGAAATACATCTGTTTCACAAATGGCTCAATACAGTAATTGTCACAGTTGCAGCCCATATCCTGGATATCTCCATGTGTGATTGCTCTTGAAACCAGAACAGGCTTTTCTACTATCTGAGATTGTTGCTTGTGCATTGTTCTTCTATCAGTCTTTTTTTCATCCACCAAACTTTCCACTGAAATTATTTGACGATCTGTGAACAATTAGCATATTTAGCCATGACCTTTTACTCTAAACAAGTGTCAGCTGGTCAACTGTCAAATCAACCTCTCCCATGATTTAGGAAGCCATAAAATACTGATTAAATCTGTATCCAAGAAACTTTTTATTGGTCCTTTGCAATATATATATGTTAATTTTCCTAAATATAAAGCTATGGTAATTATTTTCTTACCTTTGCCCACCAGCTTGAAAGCACAAAGTAAGTATTAACATTCTCCTCCCCAAACTGCTCAGCCACATACAGTCCCAGAGAGCCGTATTTATCATAAATATTACGCTTTGTGGGGTCATTCAGGATAGCATGGGCGTTGTTGATCTCTTTGAATTTATCTGCTGCCTCTGGATTGTCCGGGTTCTTGTCAGGGTGGAACTTTAGCGCCAGTTTCCTGATGTAAAAGGCAGGTAGAAAATCACTTAATGACAGCAGAGGGGAGCAGCTTCTGTGACTGGACAAAAGCAGAGCTTGGCCTCACCTGTAGGACCTCTTGATGTCATCAGACGTGGCCACCTTTTCAACTCCAAGCACATGATAGAGAGACTCCCCAGCGGTGGACAGAGAACGCTGCCTCTGTTGCTCAGCCATGATGCCTCACAGGCTGGACACAGAAACAAGAACAGAGAATTGGAGATAGATCTATTTCATCAGAACAATCAGAGAAAATACTGAGGCTGGCAGCTCCAAAAGCAGCAGGGAACAGCTGGTAGGATAAACACATGTGTCCCGACACACAGATCTGCACTATATAGAATGAAATTAAAGCTGTTTGGGTCCAGATGATGGACTGATTACTTTCACCTGCATTTATCTTAGTTTTTTCTGCAGGATAATACGTTGTTGGAGCAGATCACTGACAGAATTACATCTTGGCAGGTCCACTGCTCTTAGTAAATTACAAGCTGACATCCCTGCAGGCTAACAAGCTACAATAGAGCAGAATGATAAAAAAAAAAAAAAAATATATATATATATATATATATATATATATATATATATATATATATATATATATATATATATATATATATATATATATATGCCTCACAAAAAAATAAATAAAATGTAATTTTTTGAGTCTTAAAAAAAACAGGCTGCATCCAAATGGGTGTTAACTACACAAATGAATACCTACTGGTCTATATTTGAAGCCTTTTTCATTTTATCTTCGGGTTTTCACGGGAGTCTAATCAATCTGAGAGATGTTTTCTATATATTCTCCCTCTATGAATCGCATCAGTCAGTAAATTTTCGGTAGCGAGGATTATAAACTACGAGTACGATACTGGGGGCATAATCTCTGATCAGGAGTCATCAGCTGCACGGCCACAGCGCGCAGCATCCATGTTGGTTCGCTTCCAGGCCTGTTCTGGAGGCAAAGGCAGGGATGGATCGTCAGGAGGGATTTTTCAAGGGCAAGAGGCAGCGTCACAGAAAAATAAGGAGAACATATTAAAGCAAAAATGATGCTCACCTTTTAGTCGGCTCTGATGCTCTCTAAGAATAGCGATCCGGAAGGGTTCTGGTCTTTACAGGGCGCAGCGTGACTATGGCAGCATCTCGCACGAATCCAGAACCTCTTTGGCTCACACTACCATGGACAGCTGCAGCAACTCGCTGACTCCGCCCCCTTTGGTACCCCACGGAGGACCCTACGTGCGCGTGCACTGATGAAATTCTGACGGAATGGGCGCGTGGTGAGAAAAGCTCATGGATTGCTATTAAATAAAGAAAATTTAATTTTGAGCTATTAGTTACTATTATATCATATGATATTATATGTTATATATGTATATATGTATATATCTGTATGGTATATACATATATATGGTATATAGGCTACGTATATATATATATATATATATATATATATATATATATATATATATATATATATATATATATATATATATATATATATATATATATATATATATATATATATATATATATATATATATATATATGTATATATATATATATATATATATATATATATGTATATATATATATAAATATATATATATATATACATATATACATATATGTATATATGTATCTATATATGTATTTATATATATATATATATAAATAAATATATAGTCTATATATGTGTATTATATACAGAAGTTGCAATATGTTGCAAAATTGCAACATATATATATATATATATATATATATATATATATATATATATATATATATATATATATATATATATATATATATATATATATATATATATATAAATAGATATAAATAGATATATAGTCTATATATGTGTATTATATACAGAAGTTGCAATATGTAAGGAGAGCCTGCCTTAGAAGCCTGCAGTAGAAAAGAAGAAGTTAAAAGAAAAAGACTCAAGGATCCGTTTTCCATTAAGTTGATGTGAAAAGATTTTTTTAAAACTGCTTTAGTCTGGTGGACTGGTGACCTGTCCAGGATCTACCTCATCTGTCACATAGCGAGTGTTGAAGATAGGTTCCAGCCACACCTTAGCCCTGCAAGGAGACGGTTAATGCATGCTGCAGTATTTGCATAAAATAATGCAATTGCAAAGTCCTTCAAGAATTACATTTATTTTTATAAGTAAGTTTTTTACATCTTCATATGTTAATTTGGTTAAAGAGAATTGATCCCTTGTAACTTACCAGTGATTAAACAACAGCACTTTCAAGTGAGTCTCAATAAGATGTAAGGGAAAAGGGTTAAAATGTTAATAATTTACCTTGAGCTGAGGCTAAATAATACCTTTTATTTCTTTGCTTTGTAAAAAGTAGCATTAGTCATACACAAGACAAACAGACATGTTGGTGAACATTTCCCAAGCAATAATCTTTTTGTTTTGCTCTTTATTGATATGATGAAATAAAAAGCCAATTCTTTAAAGAAACAATAAGATGGCTTGTGACTTACATTCTGTGCAGAGAAGGGATAATACTTTTTAAATCATTATAGCTTATCTTAAAGAGAGGGTTAGATTCTAATGTCTCCAAAAGAAAACAAAAAGGTAAAAATTGACATTCCTGCAGATGACAAAAAAAAATCATACATTTAAACTTAGAAAAACATGCTGCTGTTATGTATAAATTACATCAGTGGTTTGCACTGCTGTCTCACAGCAGAAATCTTTGCCCTGAATCTCAGCTTCGACTCCTCCGTGAGCCTTCCTATGCATGCATTTTTTGGTAACATTTTGGGTCCCAGTTAATTGTAGTTTAAACACAACAGACTGCCTGAGTGTAGTCGTTGGCCATCTCCATTCCTTTATGACCGCACTGCCCATCTTCTGATAGCTTTTGTTTAGCAGAATAATAAACCGGTCTCATGCCAGTATGAATGAATGTAGTTCTTAAAGGTACAAAAACCCGTAAACAATTAGATGTGGAACATATTTTTAAATCCCATATTTTATCATTCCCCTTTATTTAAATGCTGGATACACTTTTCTTTACTTTAGCTCAAATAGTAAAATAAATGAAGCTGTATATCTAATCAACACGGAGAAGAGAATTGATACAGATTTGCAATAGTGAGAGCAGATTGACAGGATGGTTAGATAGTTAAGTCAAAAACCAATGCTAATTGAGGTAATATTGGTGTGTTCATAAATCTATTCTGGGAAGAAAAAATATTTAATTAGGCCTAGTAATGTATTTATTTTTTATTTTATTTTATTTTTCACTGTCCTGTCTGGCAATGTGGCAATAAGAATAATTGTCTTGATGCCAAAAAGAGCCCAACAGATTTTACTTTCACAAGTGTAGCAGTAGGGCAATTGCCATATTGCTCCACTTGTTTCATGCATATAAATTGCTTTATTATGCAGGGAGTTTTACAGTTTACATGGACACTGCAATGTAAATATAGCAGAAAAAAAGGAAAAAAGAAAAAAAAAGAGAAAAGATGAAAGAAAGAGAAGACAGAAAGGCTAGAAAGCCTAGTAATTTAACTGCAAACTATAAAACTATTTAAAGAACCATAAAGGTCATAGAGTATATTAGGAAAAAAAAACACAAAGCAATCATGGGATTTAAATGATCTGATCTAGAGGAAAGAGCCACTACATCAACGCATTAATCTACACTTAATAATCATAAATATGAAAATTTCCCAAACTGAAATAAGAAATATAAAAAAAAGAAGAGATGATAAATCGGCTAAAAAGTGAAAAAATAAATAAAATCATAACGTCAAAATACAAAAAGCTATGCATCTATTATTTTATTTTGTATTATTTTCTTTAAATTTATAAGAAATGTACAAGTGTATTGATATTATGCAAAACGTTCCTAAATTTAAAGATACAGCCTTTAGTACAATAAAACTCAAATTTTAAACAAAACATTATATGTTGGTTAATTAATGTACAGGTGCTGGTCATAAAATTAGAATATCATGAAAAAGTAGATTGATTTCAGTAATTCCATTTAAAAAGTGAAACTTGTATATTATATTCATACATTACATACAAACTCATATATTTCAGATGTTTATTTTGTTTAATTTTGATGATTACAAATGACAACAAATGAAAATCCCAAATTCATCATATCAGAAAATTAGAATATTACTGAAGACCAATAAAAACAAAGGATTTATAGAAATGTTGGCCAACTGAAAAGTATGAACATGAAAAGTATGAGCATGTACAGCACTCAGTATTTAGTTGGGCCTCCTTTGGCCTGTATTACTGCAGCAATGCGGCGTGGCATGGAGTCGATCAGTCTGTGGCACTGCTCAGGTGTTATGATAGCCCAGGTTGCTCTAATAGTGGCTTTTAGCTCTTCTGAATTGTTGGGTCTGGTGTATTGCATCTTCTTCTTCACAATACCCCATAGATTTTCTATGGGGTTAAGGTCAGGAGAGTTTGCTGGCCAATTAAGAACAGGGATACCATGGTCCTTCAACCAGGTACTGGTAGCTTTGGCACTGTGTGCAGGTGCCAAGTCCTGTTGGAAAATGAAATCTGCATCTCCAAAAAGTTGGTCAGCTGCAGGAAGCATGAAGTGCTCTAAAACTTCCTGGTATGTGGCTGCGTTGACCCTGGACCTCAGAAAACACAATGGACCAACACCAGCAGATGACATGGCACCCCAAACCATCACTGACTGTGGAAACTTTACACTGGACTTCAAGCAACGTGGATGAAGTGCCTTTCTTCTTTTCCTCCAGACTCTGGGACCTTGATTTCCAAAGGAAATGCAAAATTTACTTTCATCAGAGAACATGACTTTGGACCACTCACCAGCAGTCCAGTCCTGTTTCTCTTTAGCCCAGGCAAGACGCTTCTGACGCTGTCTGTGGTTCAAGAGTGGCTTGACACAAGGAATGCGACAGCAGAAACCCATGTCTTTCATACGTCTGTGTGTGGTGGTTCTTGAAGCACTCACTCCAGCTGCAGTCCACTCTTTGTGAATCTCCCCCACATTTTTGAATGGGTTTTGTTTCACAATCCTCTCCAGGGTGCGGTTATCTCTTGCTTGTACACTTTTTTCGACCACATCTTTTCCTTCCCTTCGCCTCTCTATTAATGTGCTTGGACACTGAGCTCTGTGAACAGCCAGCCTCTTTAGCGATGACCTTTTGTGTCTTGCCCTCCTTGTGCAAGGTGTCGATGGTCGTCTTTTGGACAACTGTCAAGTCAGCAGTCTTCCCCATGATTGTGTAGCCTATAGAACTAGACTGAAAGACCATTTAAAGGCTTTTGCAGGTGGTTTGAGTTAATTAGCTGATTAGAGTGTGGCACCAGGGGCCATCAATTTTGAACCTTTTCACAATATTCTAATTTTCTGATATGATGAATTTGAGATTTTCATTTGTTGTCATTTGTAATCATCAAAATTAAACAAAATAAACATCTGAAATATATGAGTTTGTATGTAATGTATGAATATAATATACAAGTTTCACTTTTTAAATGGAATTACTGAAATCAATCTACTTTTTCATGATATTCTAATTTTATGACCAGCACCTGTAGTTTTTGTTCACTCGCTCAGATGAACCTCCCTGTGCCTCAGCAACCGTGACGTCAAAGACCTGACCAATCGGGGACCTCGCAGTTCTCTCGTACCTATCGCGAGATTATCAAATTAGCCTGGTTAGTTTGCTAGAGGCCGAAGCTGCGCTCTGTGCAAGTGGCTTACGGTTTATTTCCCTAACGGTATCAAGAAGACTTCACTGAGGGGATTTATTAACCGTTTAATTCTCCTGCTTGAGAGGAAACTCGGTGGACCTTGGGTTTCACGGTAAATTGTGAAAGCGCACGTAGCATGCTAATTAGCTTGGGCTCATCCTGTGGAGGAAGCGGGTTTGTTTTGATCGCGTCGGTGAATGTGATTGCATTTTTTATAAATAAGTGTAGGTTTTTATTTACATTTCGAATCGAATAAGTAGAGCTTTATGTGTCTGACACGTCTCGCACTGTGGTTTCCAAATCCCCTTTATGTGTTTGATTTCTAACTGGTTAGATTGTTTATACGTACTTGTTCTTGCAGATACACATTGTGACCAAGCTGTGTCAGTCTTGCTCACGATTCCCCTCATCTTCAGGTTCCCAATGATGAGTTATGCTGAAAAGCCAGATGACATAACAAAAGAGGAGTGGATGGACAAATTAAACAATGTTCACATTCAGAGGGCGGACATGAATCGGCTCATCATGAATTACCTGGTGACAGGTGAGAAATTCTGGTGTTACACAATTTAATGGTGCATCTCACTAAATTAGATAATTGGAAACTTTTTCATTTTAAGTTCTTTAACTTAACAATGGAAACTTATATAGGCACCTTACAAACAGTGATAAATGCCGTGGGGTTTTCTGCTCATAGTGATGGTTATGCCTGACAGCCAGCTGAGTAAAATCCCATAACTAACCTTGTAATGTCAGGTAGACCAGTTGCAGTGATACCATGGTCAAAACCAGACATTGTATGTTTTTTGGGAACTAAAACTTAGCATATCTTTAAAGCTATTTAACAAAGGAAAGCATGAAGTGTATGATTTTCTAGACTTGATAAACCACTCTTTGAACATCAGTAGTAGACCCCCTAGCTCCCAAGTTACCATTGACCATTGGAAGCTACATGCTAAATCTTAAACAGCTTGATTTCTGTTCACCTTCTCTCTTTTTCTCTACCGTCTAAGAACTTCATTTACAAATGAAAGGCAAACCTTATTGACCAGGAGGCTTTAAGGCCAATTTATGCCGCTGGCGCATAGCCTCTGCAACCGTCAAATCTGTCTCTGTCTCAAAAAATCCTGACTATGCGTCAGATGGTCGCAAACCCACACAGACCTCAAGCAGAAGTGCACAGACAAAAAGCAGCTGTGATTTGTCCTTGGTATGCATTTCCAGCTGTCTGTGTGGTCTTGATTCAGTGCCTGGGTGCACAATTTTTAAAAACCGAGGAACAACTACAATGGACAACTACAATGAAAGGTTTATCGAGGAGGTTCCATCCTTGTCCTTTACCGCTTAGCATAGGTTCCACATTCCTAATGCCATTTCTGTCCCAGAAGTGGCTTAGCACCTGGAATGTGACAGTTTTAACCACACTAAATGCAATGTGAATAACCCCCAAACTAAATTGGCTTTGCCTTTGAATCCACTTAATGCTGTGAATATCTTCATGACTCAGGCACCTTTTTCTACAACATCTTTTCCTTTCACTCAACTTTCCCTGCCAAGTTTGCCTGCCAACTTACTGCCGAGTTCTAAATCTATAGTTTTTTCCAGGCTTATCTTTATTGTGGAGGCTGTCAGTGACTATATGCTGTTAAACTGTCAAATCAAATATTTAAAGTAACATTAGACACTAAATATCAAAACAGGTCAAGGGTTTTTTATTATCTGTGAGTAGATATAAATAGATATAAAAAATTAACACTTGAAGTATATAATGTGGGTAACAGATCTGTATTTTACGATTCATAATATTTTCAAGAAAGTACTAAGATACAGAAACATTTTCATGATGTTTTGATTTATTGAGGTGCACCACTGCAATGTATTATTAGTAAATTCTTTGCCTCTGTCTGTCTATATTTGAAGAGGGCTTCAAAGAGGCAGCGGAAAAGTTTCGGATGGAGTCTGGAATTGAGCCCAGTGTGGATTTGGACTCTTTGGATGAAAGAATTAAGATCAGAGAGATGATCCTGAAGGGACAGATACAGGAAGCCATTGCACTCATTAACAGCTTACACCCAGAGTTACTGGACACCAACCGATACTTGTATTTCCATCTGCAGGTACTGTTGAGACACATGAGATTATTTAATTTTGTTGAGTCTCTGATATTTGCTGCCATTACTAAATACAAAGTTAATATAAACAATGTTCTGTATGGTTAAATTTGAATCTTTGTTATGGACTTTAAATATTTGTTGTTATCTATCCTGAAAAATAAACTATATTCCAGTTCATGGTAATGTTTTATATTTTTTGAATAAACCATCTTAAACAGTTATGAACTTTGGCAAGACCTAACTTCCACATCAACGTTACTGACTCTCATGTCTCTCCTGCAGCAGCAGCATTTGATTGAGTTAATCAGGCTAAGAGAGACTGAGTCAGCCCTGGAGTTTGCTCAGACACAGCTTGCAGAACAAGGGGAGGAGAGCCGAGAGTGTCTGACAGAGATGGAGCGAACGCTCGCCCTTTTGGCCTTCGACAACCCGGAGGAGTCACCCTTCGGAGACCTGCTCAACATGATGCAGCGGCAAAAGGTTGGCTCCCCTGATTGTGTTTGTAACATTTGAACCATCGTAAACTGTAATTGTGGTAAATCCCTTTGCAACATGGTTCTTTAAATTTTATCTTGAGGAGAAAAATTTTTGTACTGTTTGAATTAGGGCTGCAACAACGAATCGATAAAATCGATAAAAATCGACTTTTAAAAGCGTTGGCAACGAATTTCATCATCGATTAGTCGTGTCGCGCGATTATTGCGTCATCCGCTGCGCCGTCATCACTGCCTCTTGACTGAAAGAGGAAGGAAAAAAAATACGGCAGAGCGAGTCAGCGCCGCAGGAGCAGTGTTGCCAACTCCGCGACTTTTCAGACCCCTCCAGCGACTATTTTTCAAAAAAGCGACTAGCGACAAATCTGGCGACTTTTTTCGGTGTCACTGGCGGCTTTTGGAGACTCTTACGTGAAAGCATGTATCATTCCTACTCTGCCGTGGGGCGCCTCCCCCACCCCAACCGCGTTTTCCCGCAGGAGTCCCTCTCAGTCAGAGCCTCAGCGCCCAGACTGCAAATGAAGCGCGCATGCACCGGGATTGACGGCGCAAATTGATCACAATAATTAAAATAGCCTGCGCTTTGTAAAGTGAAAAAAGTGATAACATGCAACTTTTTTCAAAAGAAATTAACATGGCACGGAACCACCATGTTTGTTTGGTTTTAAAGTGGGGAAACGTTACGTTAGTTTCTCAGGTAGCTCATCTGATGCTTTCCTTACCTTGTTAGTAGGTTACATACAGTGATAAGGTTGGCTACTTATTTTACTTTAAATTTCATTTGAACTAGCTTAAGCAGCGTTTATATTTACTTTATAAATAAATTAACTTGCAAATTATGAGGGCAAGACTTTTAAAGTTTAAATCTGGCAAAGATAAAGTAAAGAAGATCCTGCAATTTATGGAAGTAAAGCAGAATAAAATCCAGCAAGATCAGTAATATGTCAATTAATTATATGCCACATTCCCATGTAAATATCTGTCTTTGGAGGATGTGTTTTTTAGCACCCCTAGTTCTCTCATTTTTATTCCAAATACAATTTATAATTTGAATCACAGGGCTATTTTTATCTCTATGGTTCAGTATTTTCTCAAGTAGCAACTTTAACTGCTATACTTTCCTGTCTTAAAAGGCAGAACTCTTCTAGTCTAAAAAAAACTCATTTGTTGAAATGGGGGGGCCTATTGTTTGAACCCCTTAGAGGCTTTTAAAAACAAAAATGTCTTTTTTTGCGCTTTATGAAACAAAGTACCCTATATTTTGTGGATGTACATCTACATTTCTCATGTAAGTTTGCGTAGTTTTAACACAAACATTTATTTTTCATATTGCACCAGTACAGTTAATGAGCAACCTGTACTTGTGTGCTTGTTTGTTCTGTCTATAATGTTTATTTTGGAATAAAGAGGTTAATATAAAAAATATTTTTTGTCCGATTCATCGATTAATCGAAAAAATAATCGTCCGATTCATCGATTTTTAAAATAATCGTTAGTTGCAGCCATAGTTTGAATCAACAACAAGATAATCCTAAACCTAAGAGGAATGGAGTCCTCAAGTAGGACTGGGTGATTAATTGCATTTGCAATATAATTGCAATCTACCAAAATACAATTTTCAAATTGTAGAGGCACTCAATTGTAGTCACATTACATATAACAAGAGTAAGACGTTGCATTTCTCTCTCCAGGCTTTAAGGTGGAGGTAATACACTTAAAGTGGGTTTTCCCACCACACAAACAGTAAGAGAGAGTTACAGCTAGCATGCAGATCCATACTTGATGGTAGAAGTCAGAAATTTTTCCTGCTAAGGTTACAGAAAAATCCTGAAGAAATGGACAATGAACGGATATATCTACATGTTTGTGCTTGGTGAAAAGGAAAATTGAAATAACATTGGTTGAAAGTTCTCATGGTATTGTTGTTTTCACCTTTGTTATATTACTACTTCTGAAAGAGAAATATACATCTTTGACTGGCATATAGTGTAAGTTCCTCAGGTTCTAAAAGATATTTTAATACATTTTTTTCATATTGTTTTCGTATGGGTCCAAATTTTCCACAGAACAAAAACCGATCTGCTATATGCTCCAACCAGAACTCCTCAAGGGAAAAATTTTTAGTTTCAGTTTACTTTCTTAAAATGGCTTCTTTTAGGAGCCTTTTGCAATCTGATTATTAATCAATTAATCTAAAAAATTATCAACAGATTCATTGATTTGCAAAAAAAAAATCGTTAGTTGCAGCCCTTCTAGTTCTGCTTTAAAAACTATTTAGAGCGAATTCCCTATTTTTCTTCTAAACACATTATAAATGTATTCTTCCACGCATGTTAAAATGGCAATAGATTTAAAACTGGATTTCAAATCATGTATTTTCAGTGTGGCCTCATGTCGTCATGAGCCTTCAGCATAGGCCGGGCCCTTCTGGTCCAGCAGTATAAAAGCGAACAGTGAAGCTGCTATTTTTGCTTTCGCTGTATAGCCCTGTATGTAGCTATAAGCCCCATTTTAAACCATAAAACTATAACGCAATAAGCTGACCAGCGGAACAAAATGGATTCTTGTGTGTTTGTTTAGCAAGGTTAGCGATTATTTGCACCTGACTTTATTTTAGGGGTGAAATTACACTGCTTTGTATTAGGCATAAAGTCATATAAATATAAAGTCATATTATATGACTATTAGTCATCCGGGGAGGACTCAGAGTAGAGCCGCTGCTCCTCCACATCGAGAGTAGTCAGTTGAGGTGGCTTGGGCATCTGGATGCCTCCTGGACATCTCGCTGCTGAGCTGTTCCAGGCACGTCCCGCTGGGAGGAGACCCAGGACACGTTGGAGGGACTGTGTTTCTCAGCTGGCCTGGGAGCGCCTTGGGCTTCCCCCAGAGGAGCTACCAAGTGGCTGGGGAGAGGGAAGTCTGGGCTTCCCTACTGAAGCTGCTTACCCACGACCTGACCCCGGATAAGCAGAAGAAGATGGAAGGATGGATAAATAATTAAATTCAATTTATTTATATAGCGCCAATTCACGTTATCTCAAGGCACTTTACAGAGACAATTCAATCAGATCATACAGTCAGATTGGTTTAAAGTTTTCTATCTGAGGAAAACCAGTTGATTGCATCGACTCATTGACTGGAAGGCAATCCCTCACACCAAGCATGCTTTTAAAGGCAGAAAATGGTAATTAATAGTAATAGCACCATTTTTAACAAGTAATGATGAAGGTTTGGGTCATGTTTTCATTTTGCATCCACATAATGGGCTGATTAATCATATTAATGTTATGGATCGATGTATTGTACACCTATAAAGTTTATATAAGTTTGATAGTTTTGAGAAAAGGTGTTGGATGTGGCAGTCTGTTTGTAATTGCTTGTTTTTTACATTTTAGAGAGCACAAGACAATAGATCTAAATTAAGAAGGGCTTTTTTCCCCCCAAAGTAACGTCTTATTGTTATTATTATTATTTATTTTGGTTTCATAGATTTCTTTTAATTTTGGCAGGTTTGGAGTGAGGTGAACCAAGCTGTGCTGGACTATGAAAACAGGGAGTCGACACCTAAACTGGCTAAACTCCTGAAGTTACTACTGTGGGCTCAAAATGAGTTGGACCAGAAGAAGGTGAAATATCCTAAAATGACAGACCTCAGCACGGGCACCATCGAGGACCCCAAGTGAACGCTGAAAAGAGAAATCACCAACACATCTACTTGATTTATAACCATTCAGTGACTGCCAGGTTTCATATGCGCGTAAACATATGTACAGTTTTAATCTTTTCACGTCATGTACAAGAGTCGGTTCACCGTGCAAACAAACGTTTCCGTTTAGATACAGATTCTGGGTTTTACAAAAATGAAATTGCTGATATATATTTTGAATATTCAAGCCTTTGCTGTTGTGTTGCAGTGACCACTTTCTGAAAAACCGTTTATTTTGCAGTGAAAGAGGATTGGATGTATGAATGAATAATGCTGACGCCGTGTCTGTTGGGGGTTTCTTTCTTATTAAGAAGACGAGTCAGAATGAGCTGGTTGGTGGTTCCAAAAATTAACAAAATGTGAATATTTTTTCCAAATAAACAGAAAAACTTTATTATTGTAATATAGTTTTAATTAATGCAGTATTTTAAGGTTTTATTTATCTTAATCTGTGGAAGTTTCTTATAAATCGGCCACACACTTTTGAAATGTTGAAGTTTAATGCACATTAGTAGTAAATATATGGGAGGAATTGTCCTTTAAATTCTTTTTTTTTATTTTATTTTTTTTTATGTCCATTGACTGTTGAAACCAGAGAGGGTTTTTCTTTCAGAGCTGAGCCCTATTGGCCTTTTTTTGAGTGAGGGCAAAACTCCCAACATTCTCCATGTGATTACATCTGGTTTTATGTTTCGGGGGTTTGAAGTTAAAGTAAAGTTTTGGAAATTCCCGTGACAGATGTAGAATTTATACGCTGCAGCAGACAAAGAGACGCTTTGATAAATGTAGGTCATTAAAATCCATATGATCTTCAGGCTAAAGCTATATTTATTGTCACAGCCTTTTATTTTATTATTTATTCTGACAACTCCTAACATGTAATTTTTTGGTGCATCTTTTTGTTTTTGTTAGGATTTTTCCCTTTTTCTGCATGTCTGTATTTACCTTTTCCAAGAGGAAGGTGCTTGTTTATTTTATTAGATTTTGTATTAAAGAAAAAACTTGTGACTCATTGTTCTACAGTGGTTCAGCTTAAGGCTCTGTCTTTTTTTTAAATCAATTTATCTTGTTATCAGACTCAAACTACACTGCAAAAAAATCAAAATCTAGACTAGTCAGTTTTTTCTTAAAATAAGCGCATTTGTTCTTGAATTGAGGAGGTAAAAGAAATTCTGCCAATGGAACAAGACAATTTACACTTAAAATAAGAAAACAACACAATTGCATTGTCTTATTTCAAGTGGATATTATCTAATTATCTTATTTTAAGAGTAAAATTACTCATTCCATTGGCCAACTATCTCATTTACCTTCTCAAATTAAGGGTGAATACACTTAATTTAGGAAATTTTTACTTATTTCTAGATCGTTTTTGCAGTATATTTTTCTTTATCTTACATTTGGTATCATACTGTTTTTAAAACATTTTGTAATTTATTCAAACAACTTATTTCCTGGGAGGAGGAGTTATGAGGCTAGGCTATTTTATTGCCTGGTATATTTCGGTGGCTGATTGGTTGGTCCTTCATACAACTGCACCGTGTGTGATGCAATCTCCAAAACATGCAAAAAAAATACAAAAAACAAAGAAAGAAAGAAACAAGCTGCATTGAGGTGCAAACGATGAAACAAGCTGCATAAAGGTGTTCTGCAAACTCCAAAACACTAAAAACAAATCCAGACAATAAAAGCTGTATCCACATATGGAATGCTGTAACCATTGTTTTGGAATTTGCATCACACGTTTTTTGCAGATCATTCTTTAATTACTGCGTGTTCGAACTGTTGACCGTCGTGCACAACAATTCAAAGTGCATACAGGAATTAAACTTTAAAATTTTAAGAAAAGTACATTGCTGCAAATTAAATAAACTCGAGTAGAAAAACTAATTTTACCCGCAAACTTAAACTAATGTTTAATTAGAAGATACACACTGAAGTAGAAATTTTACAATCTAATGTTAAAAGATAAACTTTTCTTTGTCCGTCGGGTAGTTTTCTTTTATTTGGCTTCACTGCATCATGGTGGCCATAGGAGCTACAGATAAAAATAAGTTTTACATCTTATAAGTGCTGCCCATAAGGTGTTTAGTCTGCTTTGATTTCAGACATTTAAAAGCTATTTTTATTTGACTAAATGTTTGATTTGTAATTGCAAATCAGTCTTTCTACCTATTTGTCTTAGTTGATATCAAATTAAAGTTTATAAGTTGACCAATTGTTTGTTTGTACGTTGTGCTGCAGAAAGTATCTCATCCAGGACGCCATTGATTCTAGAGGCGCAAATACAACCGTTACTGTTAGAAAAATGTCTCTTGTTAAGTTGGACATTAAACACTTTTTATTATAAAATTTCACCACTCTTTCTGGCAGGAATGGTAATATTAGTTAATATGGGTTGTTTTCTTGATAAATAACTTTCTTTAGGCTTAAATCACAAACTTTAATGGGGTAGAAGTAAATAAAACTTTGGCCATACTGTAAAGGACCTAGCCAGATAGAAAGTGTCCCACAATTGACTATTACAGCATCCAAAAATCTACAAATAAAAACTGGAAAAAATGATTAGAATGTGAATTTCAATGAAAGCTCAAAGAGTTTCTTTCTTGGTCAGTTTCTTGGTTAAACTTGTTTCACTAGTTCACACATTTTCCATTGCCTTTTTCTGATGAAGGTTGCTTACTTTAAATGGTTGAAACGTTTGGGAAAAGTAATTGTTTCAACAAAGCAGTTATTTCGGTTTTAATGAGGCTGGTTTTGGAAGGGATAAGGAATTTAGCATCTGGAATGGCACAGATCAAAACACTCTCTCCCCAAAGTTTGTGTTCTCATCAACCAGTTTAGATTAAAACTTCTTTCCTATTTCACTGGGGAAATATTTTTTTTAACATGTTTACAAAACTCTAAACACAAAAAGTGTCTAGTTTATCTGGAACTTGCTCAGGAACTATTGAATGTGCACGCATAAAAAAAAAACAATACACTGGACTGTGTTTCAAAGTTTGAATACGTTTTGCTTCCCATCCAGGAAGCTTTTTCAATTCAAAATGTCAGAATTAGCGTTGAGTTCCCAGACCAAATATGAGTGGAGTGGTGTATTTTTTAGTTTTTATTGGAAGGATCCCCATTAGCTACAGCTATGCTGCAGCTATTCTTCAAAGCAAAGAATACAACAAATAAATGAAAGGAAAAGAAAATAAACACATATACAAAGACATATACAATATATACACATATCAACACACATATGTACCCTCATGCTGGCATAAAATATACACAAATGTAAAAACACATTCTACACTTACACCTGTAAACATTATATGCAGTTCAATGCAGTGAGGAATGCTCTGATCCTTATATTAGAGAACCAAAACAATCTTTCTACAGATGCGTGGCCCAACACAGAACAGCGACCTCCTCTGGAAAAGACACTGCAGCACGTCTGGTTTATTATGTTCTAAAAGGTATTGGCATGCATGGTTCATGTTTTCTTTACTCACTGTCTCCAAGGAAGTTATATCAGTTTGTTTTTTGTTTAAAACAAAACTAGAAAGCTTCAGAAGTAACAATTTTGACATAAATGTTAGTAGGTTCATATACAGTCATATTCTTGAATATTTTTTTCTGATTAAGCTTATTGTAGCTCACATTTCTATACTGGCATTTTCTTTTTCTTGGTTTGATTTTGATATTCTAATATTAAATGTTAAATTTCCTTTTCTTTAGTTGATTACTTTATTTGGATACTTTTTTTTCTAGATGTGGATATGTGTGAAACCTACAAGACAACCCAGTAACCTGGTAAAAAAAAAATAAAAAGCACCATTGATACACGCCTTTGTCCTTTCATGGAGAGTCTATATGTAAATTTTCCTCCCTGTGAAACCACCACTTAGACATCTGCTGTCGGGAATGGAAATCACTTCCAGTTGCTGACAGGCACCAGTGTCAACAAGTCTGATCAGTTTAGCCGGTTTAAGCAGAGGATGTGAGGAGGATCATTTGTCAGCACAGAAGAGCTGCACCAACCACAGAGAAGACGCCGGTGTGGGTGAATGGCTGAAAACCACACAGCAGAACAGTTCAGGGACTTAAAGCCTTCTTTGGATCTTAACAACTTTAGACCCGATGAACCAGTGGAGGAGTTGGAGAACCAGAATATATGGCCCAGGTGAGAAACTTTGTTTTTAGCTGAGAAAGGGAGCTGAAGGAGGTTTAATATAGTGCCGGTCTCTAGCATAACTACATTTTCTGATGTGATTTACGCAGGCTAAAGTAGCCTATTATATTTCAATAAAAATATATAAATGTTATTAAAACTCCCAAAGTTTAAAAGACACTTGATTCTATATTAACAAAAATTTTTCACAATTTGAAAGAAGAGGTGTTTTTTTTTTCTTTTTGGCATCTGTTTCTTTGGTGAAACACTTTCATTATCCACATGTCTCCACTTGCTGCACTGCAACTTAGGAGTTATGCAACTATAATTTTCAAGACCCCCCCCCCCCCCCCCCCCCCCGCCCCTAAACTATTTGCTCTAAGGTACGCTTTGACGTGGAAGGAGAAAAAAACATGCTAGGACATTTTTATGATTTACAAAATCACCTCAGCTAACAGGACCGACTTAAAAGAAAAGATTATCAAAAAGAAACTTTTGACACAAGTTGGCTTAACTTGAATTCTCCTTAAAGACCAAAAAACGATATTAAAACAACAAAGCTGTTGAACCATACCAAGGAAATTACAGTCTTCATGGATTACTGGGTTTCACACACCTGCTGCAAAAATCAATTTTTCTTTCTTATTCATATCTTCATTGTGGTAACAACAACAGTGCTGCAGACCTCAAGTCTAACTGTCTTGGTCTAAAGCCTCTGCATGTTAGAGACACGACATGCAATTGAATGTCTAAAAGACCAACAGAGGCGTCTCTACAGTGTGAAGTAGGTAACAGTGGCACGCTAACAGAAAGTGAAGAAGACTGCTCTACATTTGCTGCTTTGTTTGGGATCATTCTCTCGTTGCAAAGCTTGATTTCTGCTGAGGTTTGGCTGTTTTACAGATGATATCACAATGGAATGAAGAATAGCTGGTATACACAGGACTTTATAGGCTAGTGGCTGTGAACAGGCCCAGATCATGACCCCTCTACCATCATGCTTGACAGTTTCTTTGAGATGTTGGTGGCGATATGTTTTATTTTTATTTTTTTACTAAATGTGGCACAGTGTATCTAAAAAAAAACCTCAAGATTAGTGTCTGTCTAAAGTGTCTACGTAAATGCTAAAGGATAATTAAGTCAGGACTTTGTTAACTAAAACTTTAAGCCTTTTTAGACAATCCAACCATATCACACTGTCTGATCCCCATATCAGACAGTTTGATCTTTTTTTTTTTACTTTTAACCATCCATATCATGGAAGAGTTTCTACTGTTTTAAAGGTAAAAAAAAAAAAAACCTGTCTGTGAAATCACGGACTAAAAATAGTCTGAAACTTATTTTCCCATATTGATGCACAGCAGCATAGCTCGTGTTTGTCTATATTTGTGTTTAATTACTAAATTACCGTAGTTAAGGTTTTTAAAGTGCAACCGATAAACCGATCCTACTCCTTATAATCTAAAAATAAGGTGCTTATTAATGTGAAATCTTTTCCTGTCATGTAGACACCAATGAGCTGAGCTTTATCCAAGACTTCACCTCTGAAAGTTGCAGATGCAAATTTGCATCTCATTCAAAATACTGACAAATGTGGAGCTCCACTGTTCTGTTTATGATTGTTAATGGTGTCAAATTTCTAGGCCTTAAATGTCAATGTCTTTTACATAGATGCAGGTTTTCAATAGAGAAGCTATCCATGACATGGATGGTAGAATCCATGACAAGTAGGGAAAATTGAACTTTTTTTTAACCACTCTGAAAAGTGTGGAAAGCATTTGTATTTGGACTGCTTGAGCCAGTGGCGTTTAGAACTGTTCCTAACTAGAAACAGAGATTTTTAGAACATGGCTTTGGAGTTTGTTGTGGCTTCTTACTTGTCTTCTTCCAACATTGCATCATATTTAGATCAATCCATCACCCAATAAAACTAACCAGATGGCCCGCAGCCTAATGCTGCCACCACCGTTTTTCAGAGTTGGGAGGGAGTATTTAAAGATGTCATTTAATACTTCTAAACACATTTGTCATGTTTAACATTTGGACTTGGCTGACCAGAGCACACTCTTCCGTATGGCCACTATACTGCTTCCAACCAGGGCCGGCGATTGCTACAGGCGAGCTAGGCAATTGCCTAGGGCGACAAATGTGTTGGGGGCGCCCTCTATAGTGTCGCCCTTAGGCTTACTTCCCATTGATCATAGAATTAGAAAAAAAAGCGAATTAAACCAGTTATGAAGCGTCCGTCAGTTTGACTTAACCTTACGTATATATAAATAGCAAAATATGAACAAATAAATATACCACCGTTTTTTTATTTATTTTTTCACATTTAAGAGAAAATCGGAAAAGATTCTGATCACTTTTCAAGCGCCCTCCAACCCGGAAGTCGTGACGTCAATCACTGCAGCATGTACACCAATATTTTGGAATGAAATTGTAAGCAAACAGATATTAAAAGTAAAACAAGTGAAGTCTGGCAGACTCGAGAATGGCTGAACGGAAAAGACTCCTCCTCCTCCTCCAGCTGCTGCCGCAGTCGGCCCGTCTTAATCATCCACTCAGAGTACCACTGGTAAGCGCACACAGACTTTGTAGCTTGTCCGGTCAGTTAAAAATATTAATTGTGAAATCCGTCTTGTAATCGGAAGCATACAAGCTAGTTAGCTTGAAAAGTAAATAAAGTTTCAGACGTGCTGCGTGATGATGTGTTCAGATTGGCTCAGTAAAATGACAATTAGGTTATCATGATGCGTTCAAGTGTAACGTAAAGAAAACGGGAAATTTTGTTTTTGGCGAGAAACATGAGTAATACAGTGGTATATTGCTCTATATATAATTAAACTACTGATGCCAACATTTATTAAAAATTACATTTAATTTAAAATACAATTATTTATTTGTTAAATATTTTCCTAATCACTAAAAACATGATGAAAAGTGACAGTAGACAATACATTAACCAACAATTGTGAAAATATATTCTAGTTAGTTTTATGTAATTTCGAAGTGGCCTATTACATTAGCCATGTTTATTGAAGGCTAGAAACGTTTTTGTTATGCTCACTTGTTAAGCAATAGAAGCAATACCAGTTCTGTTAATAAAATTTTGTTGCATCGTCTTTCCACCAAATAACAGAAAAGTATCGATAGTGGTATCGATATCAATACATTTTAACGATCCCCATCCCTAATGTTGACATCATTTTTTTCTCAGAATTATGTGCTATATTATTAGCTTGAGAATGGGTAGAAGATACTAATATAAATAAAATATTTTGTAGTGATTATCTGCATTGAGTATTCAAAAGGGATGTACAAATAATCATCAAAATATATGAAGTTATGGCTGTTCATCATAGAATATGAACAAAAAAAAACAACAACTTCAAACTTTTAATTTTGTAATGGTATTCATAAAAGCACTTTTGTTTGTAGAGGGTTAATCCTTTCTTTAATCACTAATCAATGTCAGAAATCAGGGTAAATATACCTGATATATTTTATTTAGAGGAAAATTTTGTTTATCTCATTTCTATTTATGTTCAAATGATTTAATTGAACTGGAACAGAAAATTTAATTTAATGTTTATCAATTACTTTTTTATGTAGTCCTGTATGTATTTTTTATTGTCATTTGGTAATTTCTGAAATTGATTTATTTAATATTTGTTTAATGTGTGTTAAATTTGTTAATTGTCTGAAATAAATTCATTCAATGATTCAATCCAGTTTTTTTGTTATACTTTACCTAAGTGTCCTTACAGATGGTTAAAAGTGTTTTTGCACAGTCCTAACTTTGAGTGTGTAATAAATTATTTAAAATAATAAAAAAGAAAAGGTACTGAAACCTATTCTGGTATTTGTCTATGCATCACTCCATGCTAAGTTACAGTTTTTTCTGTATGCTTAAACACAACCTTGATTCTTATAGCACAATTTCTAAAACTATTAATACTTATACCAAATCCACTCACTGAGTTCACAAAACTAAAAGAACAAACACTGCTTTGCACTCAATTTGCAATTTTGTAACACACACTTTGCACAACTGTAGGCACAATTCACCGCACAGCACTCTTTGTGGAACTGTAAACACAACTCAATGAAGCACTAAACAGATGCTGAAAACAGTACTGGTATTTCGCACGGCAAAAGTGTGGGGGGGGGCGCAAAACTCAATCTCGCCTAGGGCAACCAAAGGGCTAGAACCGGCCCTGCTTCCAACAAACTATAAAAAATAGCAGTCTGCATTGCTTTCAACAGTTTAATAATCCTGGGACTCTGTGAAGGGCACAAATAGTAGTTGTCCTGTGTCTCAGCAGCTCTCAGCAGTTACCTTATATGTCTAAGATGTGTCCTATGATAAATCCTATCCCAACCAGCCTGTTAGATTGGGTAGACTTACCATAACTGGACAGATTAGCGGTCATGTCACCCTCATGTTAACTGAGTGGTGCCCTATGCAGTTTTATGCAGTAAAATGAAAGGAAATTATTTGGGCTAGCTTTTTTAAGGGGTATCAAAAAAAAAAAAGGAGGTGGACTCCCATGCAAGAAATATTCAACTATGTATGATGTACACATGTATAGAGGTGCAGCTGGTACTGTGTTACCTCAAAGGAAAAAAGTTTAATGTTCGGACCCATATTCTTATTACGCATACATCGTTTCTGTCTGGCTTTTCTGACTTCCTCTTACTGACTGAAAACATTACTGTTAGGGGAATTGGCATTCTAAATTTCCTTTTGGTATGCTTGTATGTGTGTGCATGATTATCTGTCATGTTTCTGTGTGGAGACCTGACCAGGTGTGTACCCAGTGTCTCACAAAATGACTGCTGAGAAGCGGTTTATACAGTTTATACAGTGGATGGATCAATCGTTTACATTCATCCCACAGTCATCCCCTACTTGGTATCAGCTGATCACTTTATAGCTATATTAAATAAACTGAATCAGCATTTGCAAAGGCCATTTTTAGTCACAATAAATGCATTTAACTCAAGTATCATGTTTGAATTTAGGTTTATCTGGTGATGTAATGAATCATGCTTCATGCAAAACCATTTCTTTTTCGCCCCATGCAAATTAAGATGCATGCCATTAAACTGGAGTTACTTGCAGATCACTGGCTCGAAAATGGATGGCGATGCTGTTTTTGGGCACCTGTCTCCTGTACTGTGCCAGGATGACGGCGCCGGTCTGTGCTGTCTCAATGGCAGCCACCTTCCACTGGAGTAAAATCGACTCTGGCCTTGTCCTGGGTGGTTTCTTCTGGGGCTACTGTTTCACCCAGATCCTGGGAGGACACGTCAGTGACAAGTAAGCTATTCATTCAGAGATGTACGCATGGCTTCACTTAAACAATGACTTGGTTAAATTCACATCCTGATATTTTAAAGTAAGGTTTAAAGTTTCAGGATTTCCTCCTGGTAATATTTACTGCTCTGCAGAGTGGGGGGAGAGCGTGTCCTGATCACCTCTGCAGCTTCATGGGCGCTGATCACCGCTGGGACCCCTTTGCTAGCTCACCTGGGCTCTCACACCCTCGCTTTGATGACGTTGGCAAGAATCCTGATGGGACTGCTCCAGGGTAAGAACTGATAGCTGTTAGTCTAATTTAAGAGCTTACAGAAGCCTTCAGGGAATGTATAAAGTTAATATTCAAAGCAAAAGTCATGCATAGGCACTTATTCTCACCATACAGATCTGATACTACTTCACTTTGGGGCAAATGTATCATCTGATCAGTGATAACTGGAAAAGGGATGGTGGGGAAAGTTTGCATAGAGAAACAGAGAGTTTAAAGTATGGCAAAATCTTTTTCTAGGCTCGTAACTTCCCTACAAAACAAACCATGAAAAAGATTTCTCCCTGCTGCAGCTAAAATGCTGAAGCTCATAAAACGAACCGTGACTCCAGCTGTGTGATGTCTCGCAGGTGTTTTTTTCCCGTCTTTGGCCAGCCTCTGCTCACAGCGTGTTGTGGAAGCTGAGAGAGGGTTCTTGATGAGCACCATGCACAGCGGCACTCACCTCGGGTGGGTTCTGCACACATCTATACATTGCTTTACATTCATTACTGAGAGCAACATTAATGTTTCTAGCCTATGTTTTTATTCAGCACGCTGTTGGCGGGTGGAATGGGATCCATGATGCTCGACAGGTACGGCTGGGAAAGCATGTTCTACTGCACTGGGTTCTTAGCTGGACTGTGGGCCGTTACAGTGTGGTATTACTTATCAAGAGGTAAATCTGGCTTCTTTTCATCATGATATCTTAAATACTTTCATGACAGCATTGCCACTGAGTATTTCTGATCTAAAAGTTAATTTTTGTTCTATGTTGGTTTAGTGTACTTCTTGAAGTTATGTTTTTTTTTTGCTTTAGGAATAAAATAATAAAAAGAAAGAATCTCAACAAAGATGACACAAACCAGGATCACTTTTAATTTATCAAATAATAGCATAAGGTGCCTCTCAGCAGGAGAAAGAGAAGTGATACAAAATACCATACAAATATAAAGAGATTAACACATTTTAAGTTTAGTAACTGTTTTGAATGTATTAAGGGATAGAACAAGTGAGAACTGGAGAAAACAGGTGAATTAAAATGAACATAGTTAGAGAGAGAAGAAAAACATATTCTATTACTTATCAAGACTTAGATTTTATTTTATTTATCCCTTGGAAAAACTCCTTCAGGGAAATTCTGGTAATCTTTTATTAAATAATAACTTTGATAGGAAATTGGTAAATTAAAAACTAAAATCAAAACATAAAAAAGACACAGAGAGGAAAAAAGAGCAAAGGAAAGAGTAGAATATTATAAAAATGAAACAATATACAATTACGAAATATAGAAAACAAAGAAATATAATATGTGTAATCCAATAAATATGATATAACGGTCAAAGATAAATTTCAAAACAAAGCCAATTCCATAGAACATCTAATAGCAACACCATACAATAATCTATTGTTTCAAACAGTAAAACGAATAATAAATACTGAAAAGTAAAAGCTGAAAAATGTGTAAAACAAGTTTAAAATGGTGTATTGAATTAAACAAATATGAAATAATAAATAAGACAATAATATTTAGATGAACATAACTGATTTTCAGTAAATAACATGGTAAAATATAATAAAAAGTAAATCAAGTAAAGCAGTTCAAAATGTAAAGCAACCAAGAAAATGGACAGATGTACTATGTTAATTAACAAATGCACAGATAAGCTAAAACAAAATATCAAAAATACCAAATGAGAGATAGTGTTTTTTTTTAATCTCATGAAAATGTATTCCACTATATGTAAAAACATAAAAAAAAAAATTTTAAATGCCATTTCTGAGATGTTTAATGTCTGATTTGTGTTTATAATGAAGCTCAAAACAGATGTTTTGATATAATCTTCAATGTGCTGTTCAGGTGATGTTATAATGCAGCAAACAGGAACGAAGAGCCACCTCCAAGCAAGTTTGTCCCTGAAACGCTGGCTTTACATTTTCAAAAAGCCTCCTGTTTGGTACAGCTATTAAAATTTATCATTTCTGTTTGTTTGACAGTTAAAAGATGAACATTTTGACCCGACTCCCTCTGTTATTTCCTTTCTCAGGGCCATGGTCCTTACTCACATGTGTGCATGCAGCACATCCTACACTCTGTTATCTTGGCTGCCGACATACTTTAAAGAATCATTTCCTCATGCAACGGTAGCTCCTTCACATGTTGATTTTTGTCCTATGAATCTAACTTAATGATTTCATGCTCTAATAAAGACGTCTTTACTATGATTTGAATTTATTCTTGCAGCCTTGGGTGTATAATGTGGTTCCATGGTTAACAGCGATTCCATCAGCTCTTGGTGGAGGATTTGTGTCTGATTTCCTCATTACCAAAGGTAAAAGAAAATGTGCAATGGTTCCTAAAGTTGTCTGTCATCTGGGAAAATCTGATAAACACCTTTTATTTTTATTCTGTAGGATACGGTGTTGCATCTGTGCGAAAAATAATGCAAGTAAGTATAAGATTTTTACTGTGATGTTTAAAAAAACGAAACATTTATAATGTATTATGTGTGCTTTCTGTTTCTAATACCTAATGATTGGAAGCATTTTATTAAGGGAATTTACACTCACCGGCCACTTTATTAGGTACCCCATTCTAGTAACGGGTTGGACCCCCTTTTGCCTTCAGAACTGCCTCAATTCTTCGTGGCATAGATTCAACAAGGTGCTGTAAGCATTCCTCAGGGAGTTTGGTCCATATTGACATGATGGCATCACACAGTTGCCGCAGATTTGTCGGCTGCACATCCATGATGCAAATCTCCCGTTCCACCACATCCCAAAGATGCTCTATTGGATTGAGATCTGGTGACTGTGGAGGCCATTTGAGTACAGTGAACTCATTGTCATGTTCAAGAAACCAGTCTGAGATGATTCCAGCTTTATGACATGGCGCATTATCCTGCTGAAAGTAGCCATCAGAAGTTGGGTACATTGTGGTCATAAAGGGATGGACATGGTCAGCAACAATACTCAGGTAGGCTGTGGCGTTGCAACGATGCTCAATTGGTACCAAGGGGCCCAAAGAGTGCCAAGAAAATATTCCCCACACCATGACACCATCACCACCAGCCTGAACCGTTGATACAAGGCAGGATGGATCCATGCTTTCATGTTGTAGACGCCAAATTCTGACCCTACCATCCGAATGTCGCAGTAGAAATCGAGACTCATCAGACCATGCAACGTTTTTCCAATCTTCTATTGTCCAATTTCGATGAGCTTGTGCAAATTGTAGCCTCAGTTTCCTGTTCTTAGCTGAAAGGAGTGGCACCCGGTGTGGTCTTCTGCTGCTGTAGCCCATCTGCCTCAAAGTTCGACGTACTGTGCGTTCAGAGATGCTCTTCTGCCCACCTTGGTTGTAATGGGTGGTTATTTGAGTCACTGTTGCCCTTCTATCAGCTGGAACCAGTCTGGCCATTCTCCTCTGACCTCTGGCATCAACAAGGCATTTCCGCCCACAGAACTGCCGCTCACTGGATGTTTTTTCTTTTTCGGACCATTCTCTGTAAACCCTAGAGATGGTTGTGCGTGAAAATCCCAGTAGATCAGCAGTTTCTGAAATACTCAGACCAGCCCTTCTGGCACCAACAATCATGCCACGTTCAAAGTCACTCAAATCACCTTTCTTCCCCATACTGATGCTCGGTTTGAACTGCAGGAGATTGTCTTGACCATGTCTACATGCCTAAATGCACTGAGTTGCCGCCATGTGATTGGCTGCTTAGAAATTAAGTGTTAACGAGCAGTTGGACAAGTGTACCTAATAAAGTGGCCAGTGAGCGTATATTGAAAAGTCTGCCTTTAATTTTCTGCAAACTCCACCTCCGGATCTTTTTCTGCAGGTTGGTGCCATGGGCCTTTCCAGCATGTTTATCTTGCCTTTGTCTGGAGCTGTCCACTTTACTTCTGCTGTGGTTTTCCTTTCTGCTGCAGTCGGGTTGACCACCTTCACCGGAGGGTACGTTATTTGAGCTACCATCACTTGCAGTGAGGAAAGTATAAAAATGAAGTCTAATCCATGGAAAGTATAACTTTATCCACCATTACATGAATGTGGTCATGTGTTTATTGCTGTTTTATGCTTTTCAGTGGTGTGTCTGTAAATGTGCAGGATCTCACCCCATCATGTGCTGGTGCCCTCTATGGTGAGGTTCTATTTTTAAAACTCCTTTTTGTCATTCAGATATTTGTTAATTCATTCATAATTTCTTGTTGGGTAATATTTTCCTAATTTCTTCCTTTTTTATTAGGATTTATGAATATGATGGGAGCTTTAATGGGTATGTAACCAGATCTAAAATCTACTGATACTGATGAAAAGTACTTCTCTAAGTTTGGTCACTGATGTGGAGTTTCTGCTGTGTGTTGAGCAGGTCTGGTTCTGGTGTCCTTCTCTGGCTACATAATCGAGGTCACTTTGTCCTGGGCCACAGTTTTCTCCCTCATCACCTTAATAAATATCACAGGCCTTGGGATCTTCCTCATCTTTGGAGATGCTCAACGTGTCGACCTGCAGGAGAATTGCACAATCATTGTGGTTTAATACCGAGAACTTATATTTATTTTTATTCAAATTCTATTAATCCCAAAGGGAAATAAATAAATAAAACTGTGCAAGATTTTTAAAAGAGTTGCAAATTGCGACGCTGTGGGCTTGACAGGTCTTTCTTCGAGGTCAGTATTACAATGGTTCTAAAGAATTGTCTAACTGAAGACACTGTTGCTGTATGACAGTCTGTTGAAGAGGATTCTTGTGACTAATGTTCTTTTTATGAATATTCCTTCTTTGCACAATCATCTGCAGAGAGAGAACAAAGTCAGCACTATTTACCAGCTTTTTAAGCTTTTTAAGTCACTGATTTACATCACTGAAACCTCATAGATGCTTTATATATATCAAAGATAACATATCTGCTAAATTTCCAAAAAGGCAACTGAGGAAATGTATGAATTGATAACAACAGAACTCCAACCTATTTGGTCAACTGAGAGATGAAGATAGTATGAACTTACTGACATCAGACCCTGAGGAAATGCTCTGATTTGGACCCAGTTTGCTACACAGAGAGCAGCAATGCAAATGTAAATGACAGGATTTACATTGAGCTACATTGTTTAACACAAACTCCTGAGAGTATGAGTGCTAAGGTTAGGTGAGGACAATACAACATAATCTGGAAGAGAAGAACACATAGAAACATACGCAAAGGTAAAACACTATGATAGAGGTTTTTATTGACATATTTTGTAGAACAGCTGCAAAAAATTCAACATGATCTTGTAGAAAGCTACCAAGTGTTCCCTAGATTCGGCCAAGTGCTTGTGCGGGTGCACCAATTGATCCACTGGCCAATTAATTGGCCCTAATTTCTTAAATTTTGAGAGCTCTTTGATCAGCTCTGTGATTAGATGAGAAATAAATCTTTTCCTTTGGTCTTATCTACCTCTCTAACGGTCTGGACATCGTACACAGTCAGTGCTCTGAACTTTGATTTATATGACAGCAGTTGTTTACAAAGCTTTTATTTATTTATTGTTCTTTTTAAAGCTCAGGATTGGTGATCGACCAGGAACCTACAATCTGTGCACCCCTACTTGTATTACTGTGTAATGTGTTTAAAAAACATCCCCGCTGACTGTCCCTCACTGTTTAGCTGACTATTGGATGCCTCAGTAACTGCCTGCCTCTCATTTGCAATCTAAATTAATTCACATTTATTTGCCTACCAGATTAAATCAACATTACACTTTTGCCTCTGGTTGCTTCATTTTTGTCTCTGAGTCTACTGTATTATTCCATCCAACTCATAGAATATCATCTTTTACACTGTTCCACTGCTAATTGTCTTCACTGTGGCCAAACATTTAGCTAATAATCTTATCCAGGCATTGATGCATTAATTGCGACCTGCAACAAAAAAACTGTAATTATGTCCTAGCCTGATAGTAAAATAGGATTATTATTCAATAAATATAAATAAAACTTAAACATTTCTAAAAAATTATTATTATTTGTTTTTACATTTAATGGCTGGTTTCCTCCCCAATCATATTTACTGTAAAATTGTTCTCTAGAATTTACAGTTCTAACTCTAGTTTCTTAAATGCTACTCAGGACATTACATTAACATTAGAACCAGTGTCTTTATCTTGATTTGTCTTTGTCACAAGAAGATGTGAAAAAGATTCAATTAGGTGCAAACATGTTTTGTCTGTTTGATGAACTATGGGTTAATTATTTTTGCTGTCAAGTTGTGTGAATCCTTGTTACATTGTATTTAACTATATAAATGTGTGTTTTTTTAATATGGTATTTATTATATGAGGAAGCCAATGGTTCGTGTTTTCCTTTAATTGCTATGGGGTTTTTTTAAACAGTGAAATAAGCTTAAACCACCCTGCATTTTTTTTTTTCTACAACTCCAATTTCAACATCCAATCTTATACGGTACAACTTTTCACATAGGTGTAGTTAGCTATAACATTTAATCTCATAGCTTTTCATTGCAGTTTAAATATCCTAAATCTGAACACGGTATTTGAGGCTCCATATTCAACCAATTCCAAGTCCACTTATCATGAGTCTAGAATGAAAAGATGGAGACTAATTTATGTCTGTTGCAACATTTATAAGAATGCAGCCTCATATTTCTATTATCCACAAATCACCTTTAAACTTGTAAACTGGCAAACTTTAATAATTATGTTTTATAATATGACAGTCATTATTGTACAAGAATAAATAAAAAAACGATAATAATAAGTATAAAGCATTACTTAACTCTGCATCTTTGAAATATATTTTCCAGCTTGCATTGTAAAACCACATTAAAAACATATAAAACGTCCTTCTCTAAGAGAGGGGTTTTTAGAAGCTTCCAGGACCTTAGGGAAAAGTTTGGACTTACACTGCATGAAAAAAAGAAAAATCGCCTAATTTTTATATATATATATATATATATATATATATATATATATATATATATATATATATATATATATATATATATATATATATATATATATATATATATATATATATATATATATATAAATTAGGCGATATTTTGGAAGCTTTACAGAATGCATTTCAGATTGTTTATGAAGACACTCCATACCAAAAAACTATCTCAAAGTTTTATCTGACAAGGTGGAAAACAGGGCAAATTAGTATATTTTTGTGTTTGAAAGATTACATACCCTTCCATTAAAGACTGAAAATAATCAGCTGCCAGTAAAAGAAATTGAAATTGAAAAAAGTAATAATAAATAAAAATGATATAAAATGTATATATATATATATATATATATATATATATATATATATATATATATATATATATATATATATATATATGGGTGTGTGTGTGTGTATTAATAAATAAAACAAGCCCGATGGACCTTAATAACTAAAATTTGGTTGAGCAACACTTTGAGGCAATCACTGAAATCACGTGTTTTCTGTAATAAAGTGTTCTGTACCTGTTGACAGGTATGTTGGTTCACTGTTCCTAAGCAAGGTACTTTAATTTGTATGCAACAGTTTATTTTTAGAATTATTGTTTTAAATGAAAAATCTAAATCAATATTTCATTTCACCAAATTATCATTTAGTAAATTTGTATTTATTATGATTTTTTATTTGAGTTTTGTTTTATTTGAATTGCTAGTGTGAATTTATCATTTTCTTTATGGGAGGGTATGTAAACTTTCAAGCACAACCATATTTAATAGAGGACTTTGACGGAATCTGTAAACAACCGTGATGGACAACATTAGGTGTCACATATTGAAGGAGAGTCAGCTTGAAAAACTTGATTCAAGATATGGGTACTCCAGCTTAGACATCAAAATACTCTGATTTAGACAACTGCTGGAGATAATGTGGTCAAATACACACTGAAAAAATAATGCAACTGGCATTTACTTAATCACATTTAGTTACTTTAACACAAATGTTTCATGTTAGCAGGTAGGGTAGGACATAAAAAAATTGTGTTAAAGTAACTAAATGTGATTAAATGCCTAAATTATTTTATTTTTTTCAGTGCAGGCTGACCGCTTCCATATTTTTTGGAGTAGTCCCTCTGTGGATCCTTTTTGGGGAGAGGTTTTGGAAGAGGTCTTTAAAAGGAAAAATAAGATACAACTGTTGTACAATGTATTTTGTTGGTTTGAAGTAGTGGCTGCAAAAGAATATGTTATAACAAACAATAAAAAAATAAAAATGGTTGAGTTAAAAACACCCTAATAAAATTAGCGGACATTTTCACCGGTTAAAGTGGTCGAAATTCATCAGCAAAAAGGCCCGATTTTGTACTGTTGTTTAGTTTCAAGATGTCTTTGTATTTAACAATAAATAATGAAAAATAAATTACAAGCAAACAAACACGTAAAACAAATCTTTATAACTTAATGAACCAAAGGTATAGTATGGGGCAATCCAACTGAACAGAAGTTGTTATTCACTTGTTCTCTGTTGGAATTCTCAGTTTCAGGACCCTGGTCAGCGCAGCTCAGGTCGGCGCTGATTGAGCAACGCGTCCATCCCATCGTTCCGTCAGCAGGGGGGTTTAGACGGACGACTGAATGCACGTCATGACGTCACAGCTTCAGCTGTGAGGAAAGGCCGGGACGATCTTTAACATGGAGAAACGCATTATATACCGAATTAGGGTTGGACTCAAGATCATCTAATGGTCAAAATGGGAGACAAGCCGATTATCTTCCCAATGGAAACAGGACCGGACATCATCTGCAGGTCTGCTCGCTTCAACAAAACGAACAACCGTCCGGCCTCCCCCCCTTCCCCTCCTCACCTTGACATACATCATCTATTTAAACATTCAGCACACATATACCGACTATGGAGAGGCTCACATAGGCCGCGTTTGGGGACAAGCCGTCCTTTATGATGTCATCTACTCCAACTTTGGTCGGAGATGACCAGGAGCAGGACCAGAGCGATGCGCTGCGGCGCTCAACGTCACACTTGATGGGAAACACAGGCCGCATTAATGTGGCGGTCAGGGATACCGGATTGCCGCTCCTCGTGTTCACGGCGGACCTTGATTTATTACCCATACAATTAAGGCACGCGGTGAATGCCAAGAGAGGAATCACGCGCAGCAGACGGCATCCGTTCTGGAGCCGAGGAGATTTCAAAGACCTGCAGAGAGACAAGTCGCCTGGCAGGTGTTTAAAGGATCCAACACTTTTTAGTAAAATCTAATTTAATGCTTTGATTTTACGGCTCCATTACGTTTAGTTAATTTAAAACCACTTTGCCTTATGATACATTACTGCCAGATATGTGCAGTATTGTTAATGATCCACTGTCTTTATTCAATTGTCTTTTTTTTTTTTTTATTCTGTGTAGTGTCTGATTGCTAGGTCCTTTCTTGTCTTTTTCTTATCAACTTGCCAGGGACTACAGAAGTAAAGTAGCCTTTGAGCTAATTATGTGATATTTATATTTAAATATTCATGAACATGTACTTTCCCTTTTAAATAAACCAACAAGAATGGAAAGAAATGAAAACTGATTTGCTCTGACTATTCGTTTTTTTTTTACACATCTTTATTGACAATTTCAAGTTAAGTTGTTTCACTTTTATCTTTAGTCCTCTATTTGCTGCTAGATCTGATGATTTCAGGGCTGCAAATGGCTCTTTGGTTCACTTAAATTAAATCAAACTTTGTAAAATCAAACTATCATGTTAGGAAGCAATACTGTTTGACAATCTATTTCACATGCTGTAAATGGAATAGACAATCGGTGGAAATTCTTGGCCATTAGCAAGACACACTCAATTAGGGAGTGGCTCTGCAGGTAGGGACCACAGAGACCACTTCTCAGTACTTATGCTTTCTGGTTGATGTCAGCAAAGTGTCCAGAGGCTGGGGGCGTAACAAGGAGATGTGGAAGAGGCTGTAGGAGGGCAACAATCCAGCAGCAGGACCGCTACTTCTGGGTTTGTGCAAAGGGGGAACAGGAGGAGCCCTGTGAGAACTCACTCAACTTACTTCCAGCAGGCCATAAATGTGCATATGTCTGCACAAACGTCTAGAAACCAACTCCATGAGGATGGTATGAGGGCCCGACGTCCACAGATGGGGGTTGTGCTGACAGCCCAACACCATCCAGGATGCTTTGCATTTGCTAGAGAACATGACTGGCAAATTCACCACTGGCACACAGTGCTCTTAACAACCCTCCATGTGCTCACCAGAGGTTGTGACTGCTATCAGGTAGATCCTCAAACCCCTTGTGAGACCATATGCTGGTGCAGTAGTCCCGGAGTTCCCCCTAATGCAGGACATTGCTAGACCTCATGTGGCTGGAGTGTGTGACCAGTTCCTGCAAGATGAAGGCATTGAAGCTATGGACTAACCCTGCCCGTTCCACAGACCTGAATGCGATCGCATAAATCTGGAACATCTTGTCTCGCTCCATCCAAAGTCGTCACATTTCACCACAGACTGTCCAGGAGTTGGTTGATGCTTTCATCTAGGTCTGGGAGATCCCTTAGGAGACCTTCTGTCCGCTCATCAGCAGCCTGCCCAGGCATTGTAGGGAGGTTACACAGAATAGCCTACTTAACCTCATTTTGACCTGTTCTAAGAACATTACAAAGTTAGATCAGCCTGTAATGTGATTTCTACTTTAAGTTTGTGTGACTCTAAATCCAGGGCTCCAAAGGTTAATATATTTGATTTCCACTGATGATTTTATTGATTTTTGTTGTTGGCACATTCAACTTTGTACAGAACAAAGTATTCAAACAGAAAATTTAATTCATTCATTCAGATCTAGAAAGTATTATTTCAGAGTTCCCTTTATTTTTAGCAGTCTGTTTTCCAAATAAGGGGAGTGGATTAATTTGATGTTGGATCTCCAAAATAAAATAAAAAATTCTAGAGATGAAGCTTCAGTGGGTTTTGATGACAGGTATGGGATAGTACAACTAGTTCCCTAACTGGGTTAAAAGCTGTTAAAAGCTGAAAATTTCACCCTGATTAAGCAAAGTGCCATGGTCTCAACACAAGGAAAAATATTTACCAATCAAATAAGGAAAAAGTGCAGAACTATTGGTTAATCAATTTTTATTGGTTAATCAGCTTTTAATGCTGTTTTTGGAGGCGGAATATAGACGTCTACAGGTGCTGGTCATAAAATTAGAATATCATGAAAAAGTAGATTGATTTCAGTAATTCCATTTAAAAAGTGAAACTTGTATATTATATTCATACATTACATACAAACTCATATATTTCAGATGTTTATTTTGTTTAATTTTGATGATTACAAATGACAACAAATGAAAATCTCAAATTCATCATATCAGAAAATTAGAATATTGTGAAAAGGTTCAAAATTGATGGCCCCTGGTGCCACACTCTAATCAGCTAATTAACTCAAACCACCTGCAAAAGCCTTTAAATGGTCTTTCAGTCTAGTTCTATAGGCTACACAATCATGGGGAAGACTGCTGACTTGACAGTTGTCCAAAAGACGACCATCGACACCTTGCACAAGGAGGGCAAGACACAAAAGGTCATCGCTAAAGAGGCTGGCTGTTCACAGAGCTCAGTGTCCAAGCACATTAATAGAGAGGCGAAGGGAAGGAAAAGATGTGGTAGAAAAAAGTGTACAAGCAAGAGAGATAACCGCACCCTGGAGAGGATTGTGAAACAAAACCCATTCAAAAATGTGGGGGAGATTCACAAAGAGTGGACTGCAGCTGGAGTGAGTGCTTCAAGAACCACCACACACAGACGTATGAAAGACATGGGTTTCTGCTGTCGCATTCCTTGTGTCAAGCCACTCTTGAACCACAGACAGCGTCAGAAGCGTCTTGCCTGGGCTAAAGAGAAACAGGACTGGACTGCTGGTGAGTGGTCCAAAGTCATGTTCTCTGATGAAAGTAAATTTTGCATTTCCTTTGGAAATCAAGGTCCCAGAGTCTGGAGGAAAAGAAGAGAGGCACTTCATCCACGTTGCTTGAAGTCCAGTGTAAAGTTTCCACAGTCAGTGATGGTTTGGGGTGCCATGTCATCTGCTGGTGTTGGTCCATTGTGTTTTCTGAGGTCCAGGGTCAACGCAGCCACATACCAGGAAGTTTTAGAGCACTTCATGCTTCCTGCAGCTGACCAACTTTTTGGAGATGCAGATTTCATTTTCCAACAGGACTTGGCACCTGCACACAGTGCCAAAGCTACCAGTACCTGGTTGAAGGACCATGGTATCCCTGTTCTTAATTGGCCAGCAAACTCTCCTGACCTTAACCCCATAGAAAATCTATGGGGTATTGTGAAGAAGAAGATGCAATACACCAGACCCAACAATTCAGAAGAGCTAAAAGCCACTATTAGAGCAACCTGGGCTATCATAACACCTGAGCAGTGCCACAGACTGATCGACTCCATGCCACGCCGCATTGCTGCAGTAATACAGGCCAAAGGAGGCCCAACTAAATACTGAGTGCTGTACATGCTCATACTTTTCATGTTCATACTTTTCAGTTGGCCAACATTTCTATAAATCCTTTGTTTTTATTGGTCTTCAGTAATATTCTAATTTTCTGATATGATGAATTTGAGATTTTCATTTGTTGTCATTTGTAATCATCGAAATTAAACAAAATAAACATCTGAAATATATGAGTTTGTATGTAATGTATGAATATAATATACAAGTTTCACTTTTTAAATGGAATTACTGAAATCAATCTACTTTTTCATGATATTCTAATTTTATGACCAGCACCTGTATATTTTTTAAACTACTTATTTTTGTTCGGTTTCTTAGTCCGTTATGAAAATCTGATGACCTGAACCTTTTAGTACAAAAAAAAAAAAAAAATAGCTCTAAATTTAGGATGACACATTTTCACAGCACAGTGTGCGTTTAACTGCAATGGTTACCATCTTGATCAAAGTATACTGATAGTTTAAAATATTACATTTGGTAAAATAATCTAAAAAAATAACCAAAATTGTAGCATGTCTTCTATTTAGGCATTTTAATTTAGTCAACATAGTTTTTTTTTTTTAAACAGCATTGCCACAACCGTCAATTTCATTGCCCAATAAAACCAACACAAACAACATATAAGTATATCTTTAATAACGATCATGATCAAATCTAAGAATGTGATAGTGACCTCTGATACAATAGATATTTAATCCAAGGGTGAAATAAAATTTTTGCATAAATCTTCTATAATCCATTAACATTATACAGTATAGCTGATTCCCCCTGCTTTCTGCCACACTTGCACACACGCACAATACAGCAAGCAGTATTAAAAAAACAAAAAACAAAAACAAAAAAAAGTCACAAACATTTACCACACAGGCTAGTCTCTGGGTTTCCATACACTTGACAAATAATCGGTCAATAATAATGCTACAGCTTAACATTTTGAGGCGATTTCTGTTAGAAATGTTGGTACATTAAAGCTTCTGAGAATGGAGTGAAAACCTATAAAGATTAAAATGATGTTAAGAGAAAGAAAACTAAATCTGGCTTAAATCGAAGAAGCATATCGAAAAAAAAATAAACGTATTAATTTTTACTAAACTTGTAAATTAGATTGTAAGTTTCATTACTTAAATAACAGATCGGGTTAAACAAAGAAAATATTTCCCTGAATCTCTCTGAAAATGAAACGTTTTTCCCATCTCGCTTTGCTGAACAGAATTATAAGGCTTCATTATACCTCAAACTTTACCCCCCAAAAATGATGCTAAACCTTATAGCAGATTCACTTATAGATATATTTGTTAAGATTTATGGTTTAATTTCCTACAGCCTCCAACATAAACGTCAATGCAAACAGAAACCTTCGATTTTCCTTTGAAGTAAAAATTTCCTACAATGGAAAATGGACTTTTTCTTCCTTGGATATCAACGATGATGATGATATAAACACAAGTGGCCACACACACAGAGCAGTGTTCTCCACTCATTTAGATTAACCAACACGAGCACTTAACATCTCTTCCAACACACAAACCACAATGTGAACAGTCACTGAATATCAGCAGCATGTTGTCGGTCAGACGTGCAGATATATAGTTTATTTCATTTTTTTTTTTTTTTACTTAGCCGAGTAAACTTTGAGGATAAAAAAAAAGTTTACTGATGTTATTAAAATAACTTCTCATGGTGACTTTTTGTTTCATCCCTGCACGTGTTACAAAGTCAAGGGAAACATGGGCCCAAGTTGTTAATAAATAGAAAACAATTATATTTTCTTTCTTTTTTGTTACGTTTGTGTTCTCATTGCCATTTTATTATGTTCGCCCAAGCAAAGTGTTGATCAACCTTTCAGAGGCCAGCTTCTACAGTTCACTTCTGACGATCCTAGAAACAAAGAAAGAAAGCAAAGATTAAGCACCCATGAGTACCTTCATTCAACCTCAAGTTTGAAACAATTTGTTTAAAGGTATAGAGGACGATCTTTTATTTCCGAGTGGATCATCTATACAAGAGGTCTTCTGTACCTTTAAACAAATAGTTTAAAAGGTATAGTGGAGGATGTTCTTTTTCTGGGTGGATCATCTAAATAAGTGGTCCTCCTAATTGTCAATCATTCCGGTGATATGTTTACGTAAGGCCGTCCTACGTTTCCCGTTCTGTTAGTTAACTTTTTCTGCGCATGCGCACTTTCAGGCGTATATTTATGGTGAGCTACGGTTACAGACAGTCATTGAAGTTCACCTTTCTCACCAAGGTTCTTTGAAAATGGCTGTAAGAGAAGAAGTGTATGAGAAGAAAAGAAAGACATCAGAAGAGGCAGATATACTTTGAATGATTTGCGCAGAGAGCTCTCCTCGCAAAGCATTATGGGATTTGCTGTCACAGCTAAGGGCTTAAATCACATCGATCATGGCGATTCCATTCAGTATTAATTTCCTGACCCAACAATTCAATTATTTCCGATACTTAAGAACACAGCACGACACGATTTGATTTATTGGTTAATTTCTTTTTTACCTTACATGCTAGACAATGTTTCAAATTTGAAATAAATCAATGAAAGCTGTAATATCGTTATGTATTTTATTTCAGAAACAGCAAATAACAGAAGTAGCAAAGTTGTACTCCACCTAGGCCTATGAAAACCTCATTCACTGAAAAATAATAATGCCTCTGTGTTATAGATTCTGAAAGGCCTTGCATCAAGAAATACTGCAAGCAGAAAGCGGGTAGTGGCTAAAGGAAGCGAGGTAGAAGGGCAAAATAAGTTTAGCGCCACCGCAGCACGGAAGTCAGAATTACGTCCAGGAGCAAATGGGCAAAAACAGACCGGAGGAAAAAACCCAAAACATGAATCGATACTCTTGCGGACGTGTCAATGCATCGGATCGTTGGCTGTTGGATCGATGCATCGATACAAAACTATTATTACTTACACCCCTAGTCACAGCGGCCAGCTGTCGCTACCAGACAGTGGCAAATAAAAACAACGATGGTACAGGCACAGCGCGGTGGAGGAGGGGCTACTTCACCAACGGGGAGCGAAAACTACTGATCATTTGTCCGAACGGTAAGTTAAGAGTTTGTATAAAGTCCACTATATAGTCCTCGCTCTATATAGTGAGTGAGGGATTTATGGGTTATGGCGGACGTTTGGACACAGTAAGCTTGTATGAGCAACTTTTAAACAGAGCGTGCACGAGCCCATTTCACCTTGTGCACGCTCTGTTTAAAACGTGTTAAATAGGCGTTCCATCTCAGGAGTGGGTACAGGGTTTTTGTATTTGTTTTTTTTTTTAAGTGGAAAGGGCGGGTGTTCAAGAAAAATCCTCCACGATACCTTTAAACATTTTCAGCTTCAAATCTCATCTACATCTAGAACTATACAATCAAAAATAAACAAAATAAATGTGAAAATATTAAGACGACACTAAAAATTACAACTCCTGTCACCTAAATATCAGTCGTATTAATTTAAAATCCCGTTTGAACCAAACAAAGTATAGTAGTGTTGTCTTGACCCCTGCTTTGGAGGATAAAATGGGAGCAGTTCCAGTGCTAAACCAGAGTGGATGCTACGGTCATTTCCTACCTGGTGGTATCTAATCAAAAATATATATTATTTTCTTTATCTGCTTTTTTGTTTTGGGAAAAAAAGTTAAAAGAAAAGGTTAAAGCCTCTATGTGACCGTTCATATCCGCAATGTCATTTCTGAAGGATCCTCTCTCAAAACAAAGTATTTAACGTTTAGGCTATTAAAAGTCTGATATTAAGTAATTTAGGAGGGCAATTCCAATGGACCTTAATATTCAAAATATTTTATTTTGACCTCATATCAGAAAGTGGGCTCAACCTATTAAGAGTACAGAGCAGCTATCCTGTGGCTTTGTTATAATTCAGTTATTTGCTTTTGGAGCACTTTACATCAATTGACTGACTAGACCAGGGGTCTTAAACGTTTTCCAGGACAAGGACCCCAAAACTGATGGCAAGATGGAGCGGGGTCCCCCTAATTATATATATTGAATGAAAATGTGTTATATCAAACTGGCCCTATAGTCACTCTATTACAGATGGAGTAATGTAACTAAAGTAATTTCTCCCTGGGATTATTAAAGTATTTCTGATTCTGATTTGTATTTGATGGAACAGGTGTTGTGAATGAAACGGTGCCCAGCTTAAAAGAGCTCCTGTGTGTCGCTGAATGTGTGCATTGATGACTGGAAGACATCTTCTGCCTCCATTTATCTGTTGAATACAGTGTGTTTAATTTATGTTTATGTGTATTTAAAGACTTTTCAATTAGTGGAAAAATTGCAGGGGGAATATTAAAAAAAGAGTGTTATCAACCAAAACTCTTGCGACCCCCATGGAGTATCTCTGTGGACCCCCTAGGGGTCACGGACCCCCGGTTGAAGACCTACGGACTAGACTATTTTTCTGCATAAGAAAATGAGATAGGCATGTAGGTGAAACCCTGCGGGTGCAAAAAGGAGGCTGCGGTAAATCAATATAAAATATAGTTAATCAGCTAAGGTCCAGCCGTTATGTTTAACCTTTACCTACTGAATAACACCGCATTCGTTGGCTTTCTTAAACCGATACAGGCATTTAATATTATGTATGAAGCTAAATGTTGGTTCATGACCAAATGTGAACAAGAGCAGGTATGCAGCTGAAATGACTATTTATAGAAAGATGTTTCATTAAAAAGGAAAACCTAAGAAGCATTAAAATTAAAATTATATCCTTTATTTAGTGAAGTGGTAAATGCGATTCACAATTATGCTTCCAATTATACCTGGAAACCCCAAAATATACCAAAAGATATTGTTTGAATCTTTTCAATGTGAAACCAACTAATTTATTGCTTTCTTTTTTTTTATTCATATTTTTTAGTTGTGGCAAAGGCAAGCTGCAAATCTGCGTGGCCATGTTTTCATTCCCTTTTGGGGACGATTTCCAAGGATTTTGCTACATTTTGGGGACATAAAAAAAAAATTACTGTATAAATGTTTTTGCTTGTCAAGCTTTCCTTTTTGCAAAGCTCCGTTTTAATGTGTAACTGAACAAAACTTCAGCAGTTCAATAATCAACAAGGAAAAAATATTTTCTGATTTCTTCAAGCCCCGTCTGTAGGGCTGCAACTTGTGATTATTTTGCAAATAGATTCATCTGTTGATTATTTTTTGGATAATCAATTATAATCAGAGAGTAAAATGTTCCTTAGAGATTACTTTTTATGAAATCAAACCAGGTTAAACTAAAACCTTTTCCCCTTGAGGAGTTCAGGATAGAGCATATTTACAGACAAAAACGTTTTATCCTAAATGCAAAAATGTTTACATATTTTTGTTGTTGTTGCAATTATTGGTACAACTGCAATTCTAAATGAGTTTCTCTGTCAGCTAAAGGCATGTTTTAGTCTCAAGATTCCAGTAAACGATTAATCGATACTAAATTAGTTGACGATTATTTAAATAAGTGATAAATGTGAGTAATTGCTTCAGGCCCACCTGTCTGCATTTGAACCAATGTGTCCTGCCCAGCAGGATGGGACACTCTCCACTCCACCTACGGACTAATCTGAGGATGTATATAATTACCCATCGACTTCACGTCCATCTCAGTTGTGCTGTAATAATTTAACATTACAGGCCTTCAGCATAAAAACAAAGTTCAGCCTTTGTCTTTGTGTCATATGAGCGACCTGTGCCTGTAATATTGAGATAAATGACTGAGTGAAACCAGAATTATCAGCAAATCTTATTGCATGGAACATTATGAATGCTTGCTCTCTGACATCTATAGGCCCCCATGTAAAGGACATGCCATATCTGATGCTTTACTGCCTCAGTTCAGATAATCAACATGTTTTGCTACCGAACAAATAAGGTTCATGAAGTAACCCGTCTAACAACAGCTATGAGCCTTTCTGAAAGAAAATCCTGGGAATGAGTTCTGAGCTTTCTGGGGTTATTCTGATTCCACATAAATGTCAGGTTCAAACTGTCTTGCATGTGGAGTTCTTCAAGGGTCTGTTTTAGAAGCAGCCATCTTTTTACTATCAATAATTCTTCTGAGTTAGATGATAAATTTCGAATTATAAACATCTATGATTTTGTTTCTTGTCTACTGGATTACTGCAACACTTTTTACTTGCTTTAACCAGGGTTTATATATAGGAATAAGTAACTGTAATTTAATGATTTTTAATGCTCTTTTAATGCTCTTAGAAACAATTTTAATGCCATTTACAAGTACGCATGACTCTCATATATATGTAAGACACGGCAAAATCCTTCGTCATCTTTACCCTCGACAGACTGCAGCCATGTCACGAATTCCTCGTTTTCCAGCCACTTTTGTTGAAATTTGCATTTTCAGATTCTGTAGCTTTTTCTCCGCCTCAAGCTTCTTTTCCGAACTTACATCTTTAGGAGCAACTAGAAGCTATTCCATGCAAACACGCGGAAACAGTTATATCTGATAGATCTGACAAAATGGTTTTTATAATTTTTTTTTTTTTCCAATAAAGCATTTTTAACGCCAAAATTGAATTAAAATTATCTAGCCTACTTTTTCAGAGCTACTTGATCTCTGCAGGTAAAACTCATGTTTGTGACGATTTGGCTTTTAAGATTGAGTAATTTTTAAATTTGGCTGATGACGGCACCATTCCAGCAGATTTTAGTGCTGCGCTCGTTTCTGGATATAAAGTTATTGCGTAACATCACGTGTCAATCCTGTGCTAGCATGGAATATAACAGTGGGCATGTTAACCTTATTTAGTGGCTGGAATGATTTAATATTTGGTAAATCATCAGCCTCCCAGACTCTTCAGTTTGGACCCAACATCACAGACTGCTGCTAAATTGTTCTCTATTAACAACTTTTGAATCAAATTGGAGAGCATCCATTTTTCCCACAGAAAAAGCCCCAGAAACACAAAAAGAGTCCAGTTTGCTTCATCTAGAGCTGCGTCTGGATGACGGTCCGATTCGGCAGTACCTCACTGTAAATCTACCCATGCAGAAAGCACTGATGCTGTGCAGTGGGCAGCGACAGACTGGGGTCTGTGCTGGAGTTAATCCACTGCCCTCGCCACGGACACAGCGCTCGATCTAAATCCACCTTTAGACTCCCGGCACTCCTGTCAACCTCCTATGAAGACCAAACCAAAACCAAACTCTGATTTCTCTCGTCCAGATGGTCGGAAACCCCGTTGATGGCGAGGCAGATTATATACCGACTTCTATTACCGTATTTTCACGACTATAAGGCGCACTTAAACGTCTTTTTTTCCCCTCAAAATGTGCAGTGCGCCCTATGGTGCGGTGCGCCTTATGTGTGTTGTAACTGCGACTTTTGAGACCACCTCATTTAGGAGATGATGAAAGAGTGGCTGAATGTAAGGAGACCAGGTGTTTTTTTCCACTCATCACCATCGCTGTTAATATGTAACTCCATGCGTGCCCATCTCACAGCTGATGTGAAAAACATGGGGAAACAAATTAACCCTGTGCTCGCTGTTCAACCGCTGGACATCGGTGTGAACCGGACCCAGCAGGTGCAGCAGAAGCAGCGAGTTTACATGCAAAGTCAATGGTTGACGCGCGTATAGGTGCAGCAAAAGGTCCTGCAGCGCGTTTTGAGCTGCAGGTGCAGCGCGTCGGGAGCGCGCCGCCAACGCGCTGCTGCTGCTCGAGATGGAAAAATTGAAGTTTTGCTGCTGGACGCGCCGCATCAACCAATCAGAGAAGCTGATCTGGGAGCTGACAGCGAGACAGACACAGCGCTCTGATGACATATGATATTAACGCAAATGAAACGGGCTGGGGAGATGATGAAAGGCAGGTGTATGTGAGGAGACCAGGTGCTTTTTTCCACGCATCACCATCGCTGCGTGCCCATCTCACAGCCGATGTGAAAAAAAAAGATGAATCAAATGAACGCTGTGCTCGCCGTTATCCCGGGGGGTCTGACAAAGGAACTTCAACCGCTCGACATCGGTGTGAAAGCGGCCGTTCAAAGTAAGGCTGTGAGCGGCGTGGGAGCGATGGATGACAGACGGAGAGCACAGTTTCAGGATAAGTGGAAGGCAGCGCCGGGCAAGTTACGCCACCGTTTGCGGATGGATTGTAGATGCTTGGACTAAAGTGTCTGCTGGCTCTGTTGTTCAAGCTTTCGCAAAAGCCGGCATTATTTCTGAGGAGCCGCGCTGCACGGAAAGTGACTGACAGCGAAGAAGGGGAAACTGGCATGTCTGATTTAGCGCAGCTGTTTTATTCAGAAACAGAGGAGGATGACTTTGATGGGTTTGATTAATACTTTGTAATAAATACATGAATAAAGCACAAACATACTCAGTTTTGCTCCCGCTCTATTTTTCTACCTGAAAACTTAATTCAACAGCAGCCTCTGGGCGCGTCTCCTCCTCTTCAGCGCGGTGGCTGGCAGGTGTTTTTTCATCTAAATAATCTAAATCTTGCAGCTATATTTGCTGTGATCAGTGGGAATAAAGTAGTTTTAATATGTTTTTAAGTGAGAAAGGCCACCTGAAAACTTAATTGCAGTCAGTTCATCCAGATTATCTATTTCTGTTGGAGGCGCTCAGACCCCCACATACCAGCGGTGCACCGACAGTAAATCCCTTCAACAGCAGCCTCACACGGCGGCTGGCAGGTGTTTTTCATCTAAATAATTTACAGTGCAGGCACCAGGATACCGGCAATAAAAGCGAACATATTCCGTCGGCAGGTTTTAGGATTTTAAGTTAATTTAGGAGTAATCACAGCGCTGTGTCATCTGCGATGTGTCTGTCTCATGGCCAGCACGCAGGTTTGATTAATTTGTAATAAATACATGAATAAAGCACAGTCATACTCAGTTTTGGGCCCGCTGTATTTTTAAATACGCAGTAGAGGTATTTAAAGGTAGTAGAGGACATGTACCTGTATATAAAAAACGCGCCCTATAGTCCGGTGTGCCTTATGTGTGTGTTAAATACAGAAATGGGACACATAACTGAGACTGCGCCTTTTAGTACGGTGCGCCTTATGGTCGTGAAAATACGGTACTTATATATCATGTCTAATTTAACAATGCAACATTAGTAAACACAGTTTAAAAATATGATTTAGTGTGAAAAACATCATTCTAAAATAGTGTTTTATGGTGCTGTTAAACGATCTAAACTTGTGAACAATGTTCCAATTTGGAACTCAAGATAAATTTATTGACAACGGTTGGATCTAAATGCATTGGGATCCCAAGATAAAGTCATTTCTAAGTTTAATACCATGCTTCCTTATCAATATCTTGAGGCAACCCAGGCGGAGTCTGAAACAGAATCGGATAGTCTGTGAAAGGAGCAAAAGAATAGACTGAGGTAAGGAGGCCTTCCAAACTTAAAAATATGGAGGTGAGTTGTCAAAATACCAGTAAAAACACGTAAAAAGGGTTTGATGGATGTAATGGAAAGATTTTTGATAAAAAATTAAGGTTAAAAATAATTTAACACACCATTTTGCTAACTCTTTTCTTACAATTGATACCCTTTAATAATAGGCAGGAAGCTTTTTTAGTGAGCATGGCTCTGTGATTCATTTGGTCTCATTCACTAACAGCTAATATTAAAACTGGGATTATGCTTTTTCATTGCTAATCCAACGTTTTTAATATTGAATCTTAATTTAGTCATTTTTTAAAATACTTATTCCATTTCCCCTAGTTTATTATATATCCAATATGTGTACCGATATGAATAAGGGACATAAACCTGGTCAATTACGATGATTATGAGTCTTAATGTATCACATTAGCTTATATTTAATGATCCGTTGTCCTTTATAAGACTAACAGTACACCGATTTGTTTGGTGATGGGGCTCATAGCTAAAAACTGATGATGGGGGGGGGGGGAAATATCACTGATTTAGCACTGGAAGCAGTTTAAATATGAAGAAAAACTCCAAACAAAACAAAATGTTAATAACACTCACTATTAAGTAAACATTCATTATTAATGAGACTAATAGTATTTTCTATAACTGTCCCATAAAACCCAAATTGAATTTACCTGATCAACTCTGGGCCGACTCTGTATTGAGACAGGCTCATAGCTCTGGTTGAGGAAAAAAACAAAAACATAAACCAAAGACAACGGGCAAAATCCTGTAAACAATGCGCTACAATAGAAAAACAGAAAAATCTAAGACATAAGTTATCTTAAATTTCATCTTAGATTCCATATAATCTGATACAGCCTTGCTTTAAAATATGTATTCCTGGTTTCAGGTTTACAATTTATGTGCAGATTTCCAAAAAGGAACAAAAGGCACAGAGGCTCTAAAAGCTTCACAATAACCTGGTTGCATTCATGTGTGGACTATAAAACTAAAGCCTGGTTCAAGGAGATTTTGATTCATGCTCATAATTCAGCCTTTTAAAAAAAAAAATCAGGGATCAAGCCTGCAAAACTTTACCTCCCCTTTACCTCTCAAAAGCTTTTAAACTGAATACCTTGGTGTCGATAGCTCTTTTTAGGTGAATCTGAATGGTTTTAGTGAGGTTTGGTTCATTTCTTATCACAATGCAAAACAATTAGAAGAGCAGAGGTCAGAAGCTACTGTTATTTTGAGTAGTCAAATATGTAATTCAAGCATATAGAATTCACTCCTTTGGATAATGCTTTCACCACCGTGCTTAAAAGGGTTTGTTAATTATTTGTGCCAAACATGCCTTTTGTAAAAATGTCCTTTTTAGTTTTATCCGATCATAATATAACCTACCACAGGGAAATTAGGAGGATCGGATAAAACTGGATTGTTGCATCTCTAACATTAGTTAATCAATTTTTCATTCTTCGATCTTAATTCTTAACTGATAAAGTAGCTCACTGTGTGACAACACTAGCTGAAAACATTTAGTGTGTTGGATTTTCATACAACATGTTTATTTTAAGAGTTCAATTCACAGCTTGAATCCTGCTGCACTTTAAATCAAGGTCTCGTCTCAAAGGGGATGATGGAAACAAAAACTAGTTTTTGAAAGTAATATATTTCAATTATGATTTGTTATTGATATTATCAAAGGGAAAAAAAGATGAATTGTATTTGTTAGAGAAAAAGAAAGAAATACGATTTTTAAGCCATAATTGCCCTGCTCTACTTTGGGTGTTTTGCAACAGTTGTATGAACAACATGAGTTTGTCATACCATGTAAAAAAAAATATATATATATATATAGATCGATCTATCTACCTATCTATCTATGTAGATATATATTTTTTTATTCCTTTTTTTGTCGTTTTTTTTTTACATGAAATACCCTGAAAAAATACATGCTTCAACTTTATGAATCGTTTTATGTTTTTCCTCATCTTATACGCTAAAACTACTGATTGTTTAAGATAGCAACATATTTCCTTTTGCGGTCATTTAACAATTTGTTAATTGTTTGTGTTTTATTAAAAAAGTCATTTAAATGACTGTTACTTAGCTGGATTCTGCAAATGGCTCCATGGATAAGAAAGGTTGCAGACCACCGGACTAGAAGGTAGGTCTGCAACCAACAAGAATTACCAAAATAAAGTTGAATCTAAAAGCTTTCAGCAAAGTATCAGAATCAGGATATGCAACCAGGTTATTGCAGCTTTTTTTTTTTAAACATCCTCCCCAATAAATAGTTTTTCCATTTAATTGGCCAGAATAAATCATCGCTTTATATGCAGTGTTACAATTATTTAACATTAAAATAATTTTAAAATAATCCTCTGCAGTTTGAATGAAAACTACACACGGAAGAAATTGGTAATTGTATAAGCTTAATAAAATACATTTCAATAGTTTTAAATATTGACTGTATCACATGCATAAATGCAAATGTGTCTAAATATAAAAGCTCTAGATTTTCCATAAGCAGCTTTTACTTTAAAGGGTTTAGTTTAAACTCGATAGTTACCTTTTTCACCACGTCCTCTTCCTCCTGCTTCTTCTCATAGTGGGAAAAGTCATCAAAGATGGAGGTGGTGTGTTTGTATTGGGCGATGATCTTGAGCACCTGCTTGGCCTTTTCCAGAGGAACCTCCTGAGTGTCCCGCGAGTTGGTGACTGGCTTGTTGTCGTTGTTCTCCAGGCGGATGTGACGCAGCTGGCTGTTAGGCACGTCTTTAACAAACAACCAGTTCACGTCGAACTTGCCCTTCCACTTGTCCTGGGCCCAAACTCCAGCGCTGGTGCCGTAGTCCACGGGGGAGCGCATCTCTGCGACGCCGCAGAAGTGACCACTGCCGTTGACGCTAAACAACAGGTAGACGGGACCTTTGGAGTTCATGGCTCTGAAGGCCGCGTCCAGCCGCTTGTTCCCATGCTCCGTGCTGCACCAGATGGAGTACTTGATGGAGCGGTGGATGTCGTCCTCGGAGTAGCTCTTGATGATGAACACGCGGCCGTTCTTTAGGTTCCAGTCAAAGTCCTTGGGGTTGTAGCTGTGCGCCGCTCGCAGCTTCTCCAGAAGGGGATGGGGCTCTGATCCCGGATCGGCAGGAATAAATCCCGCCACCCCTCCGTTCCCTACGCTGCCACCGCCGTTGGAGGAGCCGCTGCTGTCCAGGCTTCCGCCACTGTAGCAGAGATTGCGGTTTCGTGGCGCCACCCATCTTGTTTGGGGTGCTGGAGCTTGGTTGTGGTTCTGGTAAGACTGCGGAGGACCTGGTGGGTGAGCTGGCATGGTCATCTGCTGTACGAGGGACTGGACAGACTGCAGGGACTGATGTAGAGGGGGTATGAGGCTGGCAGTATGGGAGTGAAGATGGGGTGGGTGCTGCTGATGGTGGTGGGATAACAGTGGGCCCATCTTGGCAGCGGTGGCTTTATTATCCCATGTATCGATGTCCATACTGTGTTTGATGGGAGGTGGAGGCAGCACTCCTGCAGCAAGAGGGATTCCAGGCTTGTTCTTCGCCTTTTGCTGCTGCTGCTTGGCAGGTTTACTGGCAATAGCCGCCCACGACGTGGGCTTCTGTGGGGGCATTCCTACTGGTGTGCCGCTGTTGCCCGCAGCAACAGCTGCAGCCACACCGCCACCTATCACAGAGGCTGCGCTCTTCACACCTGAGCCACTTCCGGTCACATCGCCCCCTATTTTTAGCCCCAGCATGCCCTGCTCCAGGCTGTTCATGCCTGGAGCTTTGCTAAGGGTGTCGCTATGGAAACCTGTCTGGCCATCAGGGATTAATGTGCCCCCCAAAGAGCTAGGAGGGTAGCTGTAGCTTCCCCCGTAGGCTGAGCTCTGAGTCTGCTGGCCCTGAGAGCCACTGGTGCCCCAGGCTGAGAACGCTGGGTTCTCTGGGAAAAAATTAAACCTGTGAGGGTAAATGCTGCTGCTGAGCCCACCAGGCTGCCCAAACACTGTGTCGGGCATGAAGTGGTGGTCTCCATTACTGAGGGGGGCATAGGGGGCCAGGTAAGGAATCGGTGGGTCACCTCCTGTAGACCAAGGAGCCTCATTGACAGGGTAAGGAAATCCAATAGAGGGGGCATAGTAGCTGGAGAGGTAAGGGTCCGTCATGGATTGATAGCTGTTATTCTATTAGAAAGAAGAAAAAAAAAGAAGATTTTAGATAAATTGTGAGACAAAACAAGTTTTGCAGTTAATTCTTAAAATATCCCTCTGTAATTCATACCTGACTGGACTGGCTAGTGAGATACGGCTCAAAGTCATTATCATGCACAGAGTCCTTCTGGTGGAGGGAACCATTCTGCACTGAAACTGGAAAGGCTGCAATAAAATCAAACTGATGTCAAAACTGCACATCATCATTTACATAAACTTCCAACCAGGCAAATGAGGCCGTGTTTATTATGAGGCCATCCATGGCTGATCATGGTGCATGATGGAAACACAACACTGACTCCTCTTGACATCAACTGCATTAAAGCTCAACACCAGGAAATTTGGACTTCACAATTGAGGATTGCTCAACTATCCACTGTGCAACAACCTCCGTGTTTAAAGATGACCATAAAGAGGCAAAACAAGATGGCAGTTGGAGGAAATAAAAACCTGTTTTTTATCCTGCTTACAAATATTCAGACATCTATGCCTCTAACAATTTAGGAAAGAACAAATGATGAAATGTCAGTGCCATGTGAGGTTCTAGAAGACTAATTCACAAATTGTATTATAAATGAAGCCCTCTGTGGGTGTTTTAAAGGAGACACCTCAAATACACTGCTTCTTTAGTTTGACATCACAAAAAACTCCAAGAAATTTACTAAGATTAAGCACATCCAAAACTCTGTTAAATATGCCATATTTAACAAATATCATTTGTTGTCATTCTTCAACACAACAGCAATGGAAGAGTCACTCCTCATACTGTTCAGGACATGTCATTTTCCCAGAGAGGAGAGGAGTTTGGTTTACAAACCCAGAAAATCTCCACTATCAACAGGGATCACAATTCTAAAGCTAAAATAAAGAAAAAAAAAACAGTTTTTCTCAACACAAATGTACAAATCCTTAGCTTTTATAGAGATACCCAGCAGTGCAATGAAACATAAATCACATTTGACCATAATGACCATCATTATATGTAGATTAAAAGGGGATCTCTGAGAACAGTCTCCCAACTTTGAAGTACAGTGGTGGAGGTATTATTTTGTATGAATATGTTGCTGTAGGAGGGACTGGTGCATTTCAGTAAATAGATGGCATGAGTTTAGAGCAATATGAGATCTGACCTAAGTTTCCTCTGAGAATTATACTGAAGTTTAAAAACATCCGAGCGACTTGACGCCTGTCTACTACAGGCAAGATCATTTTAACTTATAACTAAAAACAAAAGGTGAAGTCTGAAAACATGCATGTATTCATGTCCATCGCTTTAATTCAGTGTCATATTGTGATTTATGTTTTTGGTTTGTTGCCTGTTATAAACTCTTCCCACCTCCTGCTTTCCAAAATATCTGCACAGCCCTGGTCAGGAGGCAGTGTGAATAGTGAATGTGTGAAGTATTTACACTGAGAAACACCTGCAGTGAACATTAATCTCTTACCTTTGCTTGCATCTTGTCCTTTCGATGTCTTCACGATAATATAAGAAAGAAAACACAGACACATATTGTTTTTAGATCATGCCTGCACTTTTTTACAAGCTTCAAATCCACTTAAACGTAATATATCATATGTATTACGAGAGGAATATCAAAGGCAAGAGCGATAAGCTGTCAGATGCCAACTGAAAGCTGGGGTCCAGGCCTTGGTGGGTTCAAAGGAGATGATTTTAGCAGCTAACATCTCCTCTCTCTATGCTAACTAGCTTCCTAGCCGTGGTTCCACAGGGAACCCGCAGTCAGATAACCTTCCCACGCATAAGAGTAAAAAATAAATAAAAAAGTGAGGTTATATTTTCTGTTCTTACCTGAGGGTCAATGCTAGCGGCAGACATCATTCATCCACCAGGTGTTTTATTAGATTAAAGCCCGGACAGGTCGAGCGGTTTGAGAGCTAAGGAGCTTTTTCTCTGTCTTGCTAGCAGCAGCTGTTAGCCGGACTGTTGACTACGCTGGTCTGCGCTGGTTGTGGCCCTGCTGGCAGGTCGCACCGCCCTGTCCACATTAATCCAGCCGGGCTTCAGTTCGCTCCAAGGCGACTCAAAGCTAAATCTGACCAGCTACTGTGGCCTCGCAGCTCATTTGGCCCCTAAAACAGCAGCTTCTTCCAGTGGCTAGAAAGCGGAAATGACGCTACTCAGTCACATGACTGCGCATCGACAAAATCAAAAGAAAAGGGTCAAATATTGTTTTTCTGTTTTGTTTTTATATGTTTATATATATTAATATATATATATATATATATATATATATATATATATATATATATATATATATATATATATATATATTGCCTGAATATTTTGAATGAAAAATGAATATTTTGAATGATTTCCTGAGAATATGGAATGAAACTTGAATATTTTGAATGATTTCCTGAGAATATGGAATGAAAGTGGAATATTTTGAATGATATGCTCTGTGCTCTCTGTATGCACCTTGATGCTCTATCTCTCTGCTTCTTTTTCTTGAAAAGAGAACACTCGGGACAAACTCTTTAAATAACACGGTAACAGGTTCTGATAGAAACTTTAATCTTACTTACTGTAGATCAGAGAAGTTGCTTAGAATGTACAGAAGGCAGCTGCTCACCTCCGGACTCACCTTTCAGGAATTGTGCCCGATTAACAGTTAAAAAGGCATTTTATACATATCCAGTCTGCCACATCCTCTTATTTTACATCATACACGTTAGCAGTTGATTAGATATCCATGGCTTCAGTCGTATCAAAATATTGCACTTCGTTCTTTATTTAACTGTAATTTAACTGTATATCCGGACAGAGGAATTGTCCTAGTTAGATTAAAACAGCAGTTCTGACACGCAACAGGCAGCCAATACCAAGGTGTAATAAACTCATACATCTTCAGTGATAATTATCCTAACAATATATATCTATAATCTATATCTTTATTTTTGCCAAGTTAAATTCCAAGAAAGAAAATGGAGTTAGTGTCTTTGATTTCTATCAAAGCGTACAGTGGGAAGAGGCTAACAAGGGAACTAGTGTCAATTGTAAAACAGGAAATATGTTTTCCTAACTTGCAACTTTAGAAAATCCCAATATTTCCCCCTTAAAATTAATACAGATTACAGAGTTTGCACAGTTTAGTTGGTCCCTGCCATTAATTTCCTTTTCTGATTTGTTTTTTATTTTATTTATAATACATTGACTAATATCTATAATCTATATCTTTGTTTTTGCCAAGTTAAATTCCAAGAAAGAAAACGGAGTTAGTGTCTTTGATTTCTATCAAAGCGTACAGTGGGAAGAGGCTAACAAGGGAACTAGTGTCAATTGTAAAACAGGAAATATGTTTTCCTAACTTGCAACTTTAGAAAATCCCAATATTTCACCTCAAAATGAATACAGATTACAGAGTTTGCACAGTTTAATTGGTCCCTGCCATTAATTTCCTTTTCTGATTTGTTTTTTATTTTATTTATAATACATTGCTTTTGGCATTTCATTTATTATCTCATATATAAATGGGAAAACATGAATATTCTGCATCTCATGTTTAATTTCTCATTTATATTTTTACATAAGGGCTTTTTGTTAAACTTCTTTCTGCATATTTCTTTTGCTTTTTGAAATAATCACTAAAATCGCCCTGTTTTTAAGAGTTCTTTTATCACAAGTTGTCATTCAAAAACAGAACAGAGCTGGAAACCAGTTAGAGCTTTTTTATTATAGTTATAACAGGACTCTTATTACCTTATTGTACAACACTGGATGGATAAATCCCAGCATGAACTTATTTGATTGAGGGGTTTTAGTTTTTACATCTGTAAAAGGCTAAAATAAATAATTTGATGGATGTATTTTAATGCAATTGTTTATGCCTTCAAACGATTCTTTGAAATCTAAGTTTGTTATTATGATGTGAGTGAGAACCATAAATGTGGAACCCAGGAATCTAGATTGTCTTGTAGTTGAAGGGCCTAAAGACTTAAGGAAACCTTTGAAGAACAAAAAACTCCAAACATCTGTAAAAAGCATTCACATGGGCTGGTTGACTTCTCGTTTTATTTGCAGGATTTCAGTGATATAACTTTAAGTCTGACACTAAAACAAATAAAAAAAAAACAAGAATGAGAAACAAATAAGAATACAAAACGTTCAAAATAAGCAAAATAGCACTGAACATATCAGACGTATGTTTTTACCCATTGGGTACAAATTTTATTCGATAACTTCTCTAAAATTTATCAAGGGAATCAAATCTAACCTTCAAAACAATTTAAATCAACATTTTCGTACAGGTTGCTTATAATGTAAACACAATATGACATTCTACATTATTTTGCTGATGCATGGTACATTTTTAGGAAAATTTTCAGACCAGACAAAGACAAAATAGTATTTTATCAGGTCTGTAGTCTGCTTTTACAAAAGCAGAGATAAGCTCATCTCTCGTTTTGTAAAAGCAGGTTACATGTAAATAAAAACTAAAGACGTTGGATTTCAATATGATTTTAATACCAATCTGCACTCAGCAGATTGATATATATATATTTATTTATATATATATATATATATATATATATATATATATATATATATATATATATATATATCCATCCATCCATCCATCTTCCTCCGCTTATCCGGGGTCGGGTCGCGGGGGCAGCAGCTTAAGAAGGGAGGCCCAGACTTCCCTCTCCCCAGCCACTTCTTCCAGCTCTTCAGGAGGAACCCCAAGGCGTTCCCAGGCCAGCCGAGAAACATAGTCTCTCCAGCGTGTCCTGGGTCTTCCCCGGGGCCTCCCCCCGGTGGGACGTGCCCGGAACACCTCACCAGGGAGGCGTCCAGGAGGCATCCTAAACAGATGCCCAAGCCACCTCAACTGGCTCCTCTCGACGTGGAGGAGCAGCGGCTCTACTCCGAGTCCCTCCCGGATGACCGAGCTTCTCACCCTATCTCTAAGGGAGAGCCCAGCCACCCTACGGAGGAAACCCATTTCGGCCGCTTGTATCCACGATCTCGTTCTTTCGGTCATGACTCAGAGTTCATGACCATAGATGAGGGTAGGAACGTAGATCAACCGGTAAATCGAGAGCTTCGCTTTTTGACTCAGCTCTCTCTTCACCACGACGGACCGGTACAGCGCCCGCTTCACGGCAGACGCTGCACCAATCCGCCTGTCGACCTCCCGCTCCCTTCTTCCCTCATTCGTGAACAAGATCCCAAGATACTTAAACTCCTCCACTTGGGGCAGGACACCCCCCCTGACCCGGAGAAGGCACTCTACCCTTTTCCGGCTCAAGACCATGGCCTCGGATTTGGAGGCACTGATCCCCATCCCGGCCGCTTCACACTCGGCTGCGAACCGATCCAGCGAGAGCTGCAGATCACAACCTGATGAAGCCAATAGGACCACATCATCTGCAAAAAGCAGAGACGCAATCCTAAGGCCACCAAAACGGATCCCCTCAACACCTTGGCTGCGCCTAGAAATTCTGTCCATGAAGGTAATGAACAGAATCGGTGACAAAGGGCAGCCCTGGCGGAGTCCAACTCTCACTGGAAACGAGCCCGACTTACTGCCGGAAATGCGGACCAGACTCTGACTCCGGTCATACAGGGACCTGACAGCCCATATCAAAGGGCCCGGCACTCCGTACTCCCGGAGAACCCCCCACAGGGCCCCCCGAGGGACACGGTCGAACGCCTTCTCCAAGTCCACAAAGCACAAGTAGACTGGTTGGGCGAACTCCCATGCACCCTCCAGGACCCTGCTGAGGGTGTAGAGCTGGTCCAGCGTTCCACGACCAGGACGGAAACCACAGTGCTCTTCCTGAATCCGAGGTTCGACTATCCGACGGACCCTCCTCTCCAGCACCCCCGAATAGACCTTGCCAGGGAGGCTTAAGAGTGTGACTCCCCTGTAATTGGAGCACACCCTCCGGTCCCCCTTTTTGAATAGGGGGACCACCACCCCAGTCTGCCAATCCAGGGGGACTGCCCCCGATGTCCATGCAATGTTGAAGAGTCGTGTCAGCCAACACAACCCCACAACATCCAGGACCTTCAGGAACTCCGGGCGGATCTCATCCACCCCCGGGGCCCTGCCACCGAGGAGCTTTTTAACCACCTCGGCAACCTCGCCCACAGAGATTGGAGAGCCCAGTCCAGAGTCCCCAGGCCCAGCTTCCTCAATGGAAGACATGTTGGTGGGATTGAGGAGGTCTTCGAAGTATTCCGCCCACCGACCCACAACGTCCCGAGTCGAGGTCAGCAGCACACCATCCCCACTATAAACAGTGTTGGTGCTGCACCGCTTCCCCCTCCTGAGACGTCGGATGGCGGACCAGAATCGCTTCGGAGCCGTGTGGAAGTCTTTCTCCATGGCCTCCATGTATATATATATATATATATATATATATATACATACATATGTATTAGGGCTGCAGCTGAGGCTGACACTAAAATGTTCCCACTTGTGGAGTTTTGAATAGAGGATATTGATAGACGAAATTTTTTTTTGTTTTTATCTTAAATGCATAATCCTTACATGTATTTTTTTTTAAGTTTTCACATAATTACTGCTCTAAGTAGGTCGCTCTGTCAGCAAAAGGCATGTTTTATAGTCCAGTCTATACTCCATTTAACGATACTAAATTAGTTGACGATTATTTCAATAAAGGTCACGATTAATCTGATGAATTGTTTATATATATATATATATATTTATATGTATGTGTATATATATAAAAACTCTGTCGAGCAAGAAAAAAAATATACGTATATATCTATATATATGTATATATATATATATATAGATATATACGTATATATCTATATATATGTATATATCTATATATATATATATATATATATATATATATATATAGATTTTTTTTTCTTGCTCCGCAGAGTTTTTATAAAAGTACACTACATTTAACATTGGAAGATAAATTTTACTGTTATCTTTTAGTTCATTTTAAATGCTAAACATACATACGAGTATGCATGAAAATAAAGATTGAGACTAATTAATAACAAATTAATTATGCCTTTATCACAAATTCCATCCATAAACAGTGTTCCTTATATGAGTTTAGCACAGACAAACACATGACGATGATGATGATTACAATGATGATGATGATGTTGATGACTGGGTCTTAAAGGGCTCTGGATCCTTTCAGGATTATTGAAGAGGTACTTTGGGTTCATTTGTAATCTGAAAAACAAGACAAAAAAACAAAAAAACAATAACTATCATAGAGACTTTCAACTTTTATTCTCAGGTGGATGCTACAGACTAATTAAATGAGCAGGCAACACAGAGACAGCTTTTTCCCAATCTGAAGAACAGTCAAATTACCCAGTTCCATACCACGCTTATTTGCTTAAAACTACACACATCTACCTCTTTCGAAAAAAATGAATTATAATGGAATTTATAAGTAAAATGTTTTCATTTCCTTTTTTGCATAAGCAAGCAAAGTGGTTCTTAAGGGAAATTCCTTGTTTTATGCACCAATTCTGATTGCGAAGTGTTCATTACAGGTAGCAGACGTAACACAACAAAAACCCAATATGAAAACAAATGGGAATACTCTTCAAACAGTCAAAGGTTCTGTAGCAACTCTAGAGAGATTAACACCTCATCAGTAAGAATCTGTTGAAGGACAACTATTAACTGTGCATGACACAGATCTTATCTTAATGGAAGAGTAGCAAGAAGAAGAAATAGTGTTAGAAGAAAATACATGTATTTGTAATGATAGTTGCAGGGCATGGAGGTGCTGTGGTCAGATGAAACCAAAAGAGAAGATGGGTGGAAATAAAAAGGTTGTGATCATGGAAGAAAAGCTGTTAGAGTTTGTAAAAGACATCCAGAGGAAGACTGCTCACAGTATAAGTTAGAATGGCCTAGTCAAAGCCTAGACCTAAGTCTTTAGAATCTGGAGTAATTTAATGCTTTTGACTGATTAAGTCTACCTGAGCTTGGAAACCATTTTACATGTGTCTAGCTGCAAAATCACAATAAAATATATTGTTTGAAAAACAAATTCAAAAGGAAATCGTATTTTTAGAAATAAAGTCTGCTTTTGTTGATGAGAATACCCCCATGATGGGAAACATACTAAATTGAAGTAATTTAAGATCCATCCTTCTCACGAACAAAATTAATCTTGAAATACTGTAGAAAAAAATAATCAAAACCAAAAAAAAAGAGCAGAACCAGAAACCACCTACAAATTCAAACTCCTGCTCCATTTAAATGACTACCTTTAAAATATTTCAGTAGCTCTTAATTGACCACTTAAGTGTGGTTTTAAGTTTAGCAACTAGCTAACATTGCACGGCCTCACAATAATGTGTGTAGGAGGATTATTTCTATGCTGTACATGCATTCTGCATCAGGACGGGAGGACAGAGCTTCTGACCTTGAAGCATAACTGGTGGGGCTGAAAAGAACCAACCAGAAGCTGACAGCAGCTGCCCAATAAATCCAGAGTCCTGTAAGATGCATGGCAGCGATAGGCCACCCATATGGGTAGGATATGCTATAGATGCACCATATTGCTCAAAGTGTCGCCTCACACTGCCATATACCACAATAGCTCTAATGGTTGCATGTGCACCCTGCTTGGTGTGGAGAAACCTGAGTGGCCTGAGCAGATTTCAACTTAACCTTATATTACATCTGTGGGACAAATTACGGTAAAGCTGCAAACCTGGTTTTCTTATCTAAGTATGAACACTCCAAATTCTTATAGAAGATAGATAGACCTGATAGAATAGATAAAGATGCTATTATTGGGAATAGGGAACATCAACAACAACATCAACAAATTGGACCCTACAGGTTGAGAAAACGATGACATGGTTGCTCATGTGCAAAAAAAAAAGCAGACCAATGCTTCGGGTGATTTCACACATCTAATCTGTTGCCTGATTACATTGGAGACTCCGTGTGTGAAAGAATCAGTTCTAGTAAAAAAAAAAAAAAAAAAAACAAGATAAAAAAAAGATAAATCAAAAACAGAAGAACACAATGACCAGACTTTAGAGATGTCCTTGATGCTGTTTTATCTTCCGTTTCACCAGCAGCAGTTAATACTTAATATGAAAGAACTGCAAAGACAATGTTAAAGGAAACTCACTTTAAAATGAAGAACACAGCAGGTAACAGGAACATATTATACAAACTGCTATTAATTTATGAATTACATATTATAATAATGCTGTTAAAGGTGTTTTTTTACTTACAGCTCTCTTCCCCTGAAAATATGCTGACAACATAGCAGGAATAGACTATTGCCAGGAGCTGTGAGAACAGAAACAAAAGAAACGTTAAAGAACAAATGGCTTTTATTTCCAGAATTTAAAAACTAAAATCACAACTTAAAAGGTTTCCAGAAATTCATACATTTTCTTAATTTCTCTGTGAATTCCAATGTTCTTATCTGAATATGATAAAAACAAAATTGTGCTACACATCTGTTTTGAATTGTGATCTAATATTTGAAGTTATCATCCGATTTAGGTTTATTTGTGCAAGTATTTTTTTCAAAGATCGTTTGTTTGGTTTAATTAAAGCCTTAAAGTTTGCAGTTAGTTGATTTATAACTTTTTATAATTTTTTTTTCTGCACACAAAGATTATCTCTAAGATATCAAATGTTAGGAAGGCACGTTTCATGATGCATCTTTTGAATTTGACTTATACAATTCTAATTTTCAGGTTTCAATCTGTCGACATGATCTTGCATTTGAACTTCTTTTTGTTAGAATTCATCTGATTTTCATCTTTAGTACAGTCAATTAAAATTTTGATATGTTAATTTTTTTACTTTAATTTCACACTCTATAATGTTATATTATCTTTTTTTGACTTATATTGTGTTAAAAAGTTATATAGTGATATATATTTTTAAATACAGTAAAATCATATTTATTATCATATATTGTGCCCTATTATTATTATTATTATTATAACCATGACTATGAATAGCATTATCACGAGTATACTTTGTTTATTTTATTTTTATTAATATTATTATCATCAGTATTATTTTAAAATAATATAGTAATAAACACTGAGCACCTATGGGAAATCTGAAGCTTTTTGTTATCTTTTACAGTCAGGGAACCAATATTTAATATTTATTACATACTCAATATGCTTCTGAGCTTTAATTAAAAAATCTTAGGGGCATTTTACTGTCAGTTTTACCTTTAATAATTTAATGCTTAACAAAAAAAGACTCACAGAGAGAAGGAGCTGTGTGGTACTGTGCAGAACCTCTATGTACTGGTATTGGAGCCAGCAGCTGAGCACTGTGGTCAGCTTGGGGTTCTGGTGATCCTGCCACCCGTCAGAGGGAAGGTTTGGACTTTGACACCCAGGCCCGTTGCTCTTCCACCAGGAGGAATGTGAGGACACTCCCAGGGAGAGGATGTTGCTGCCCTGAGAGGGAGAAAACATGGAGCATTTAAACTAAAGTCCTGAATACATTTATATGCAGATGATGAGTCAAAGAGAAATAGACATAGCTGAAAGGAATGAAAGATCAGTTTTTTATCATGATATAATTCAACCTGTTTATTCCTGGATCATGAAACTTATTTTGTCACCGAGTAAACTGTAGAATATTATGAAATGCAACCTCGTTCTCTCAAAATATGACATTATAAAAACTGTTTTACTGCAGATTATATAAACCAGGGGTCTGCAACCTTTTATCCCTGTTCGGCTATATAAAAGTCACTTAGTGCTGCAAATATAACATGACCTTTTAAGAAAACACAACCTATTATTATTGTTAAATATTCACCATAGGGAATCAGCTTCCATCTTAAATCATCAACTGTTTATTTGTATTTTCAGCTAAAACGACTCATAAAGATGAAGCTTGGATTCTCTTCTATTCTCTTCTGTTCTTCTATATAATAAGAATCTGATGATATATACCAACTTTAAAGCTCTTGTTTTTCACCTTTTAACAATGATTCGTCTTTTGAGAAGTTAGTGACATCATTCCAGTTGAACACTGAGTTAATTAGAGACCCCCAGAGACTGCAGGCATCTCTAATTATCCAGCCTAAATGACCAAGAGCCATACCTTTGAAAGGCCTCCCATATCCAGGTAGAGACAGCTCACAAAGACATTCCAACCAACCCAGATAAACATCCACAGCAGGTACTGAGAAACCAGTGACACAGTGGAAATTATTTATCACACAAACACAAGAAATCAAGCCAAATTGATTAATAAACAAGTTAAACTCTTCACCATGATGACGTAGCGCGATTGGTACTGGACGGCCCCAAACAGGCCCAGGATGACCATGATGATGTGAAAGAAGTTGACCATGATGGGGGCCCACTGGTAGCCCAGGAAGTCAAACACCTGCCTCTCCATGGCGGTTATCTGTTGCATCAGAAGAGGCGGAGATAAGAGACAACGCAGACTTTAATAAAACTAAGTGTGGGGCTGCTACAGCCCATCATCATCACTTTTATGTTGTTGTCAGGGCAACAAGGCCACGGGGGATAAAACATGTAGCGGGTGCAGCGGGAAGTCCTCCGAGGTCGTTGAGGAAGGGGGGCAGGGTGGGAAACAGGGACGAGGGGAGAGAGTGGGGGACAAAGAGGGTGTAGTCCTTTATTGTGTTATTGTGTTCATTGTAGGCAGGTAAACTCTGCAGCAGAAGGAATACGTTTCTAATAAATCGAAAAACTGTCTCCTCAGGAGCATTTTAATCAGATAAAACAAACTCAAACCAATTTAAAAACTTGAATCTTCAACCTGGCTTTTAGATTTGAATTATTTTTATTCTTTTTTTTTTTTTTATCAAAATCTTTATCAATGATTGTAAAAAAAAAAAATGCCTTTCAACATTTTAGGCCTTAAAAACATATACTGCTATCTATATTAAATCACACCTGTTGTTTCTACTTTTAATCTGATTTTCATGTTTTCAGTATAATTTATTTAGTAATGTAAGTTAATTATCTCTGCTTTATACTTAATCTTAACTCAAATGGATCCTTTATTCTATTTTTTTTCTGTCCTTGTTTCTAATCTCTGAAAGAACTATGTTGATTGTGTGAAACAAAGGTCTTAGAAAAAAGATAACAGATTCATGTCTTTTAAAAAAAAACTGCATTTAGAATTATTTGAACGCACTTTGCAAACCAGTAAATATTTTAGGCCCAAACGAACGACAAACAAATCCACATTTGAGCTTAAGTCTTCATATTCATATAGTATCTATAACTAATGCATGAAACTATAGAAACTATAGAGTAAATTCAAAAATCATTTAAACATCAAATTTTTAATTAGCATCTACCGGTAATAGTTTATATGTAATCTAACAGTTTTTGTAACAGTCTAAGCTAAATATATTTTTTCACATAATTAAACAAATTCCAATAGGAGGTTTAGTTGCTTTTGTTTAACATTTTCTCCAGGCTGTGACCTGTCATTAAAGAGTTAAGAGTTGACAATATGATAAGCAAAAAGTGCAACAGGTTTAATATTAGATAGGAATGTATCAGGTTTTAAATATTTGATTAGATAAAATAAACATTCTTGTGTTGAATTGTTTTTTTTTCTGTATATTATATATTTTTTTAGAAAGTAAACAGCTGGTTTGATCTGTTTTTATTGGAGAATAAGAAATGAAAATAACTTACCAACTGCACACAGCACAGCAGGGCCAGCATGCATCTTCCAGAGCAGCACCCCATCTTTCTCTGCTCTAATCAGTTGGATGGTGACAGTGATAACAATAGCAGATTTCCAGTTCTTCTTAAGCAGAAGCAACAACACATTGGCTTGGTAAATCCATGACCAGACATATGAGTGAAGCACACAGTGCAGTTTAACCTCTGGAGGAAAACACAGGAGGCTGTCCCTGCATGAGAACTATGGAGAAGGGGGAGGGGAATCAGATGTATGAGGGCTGATTCATGCCATGGCGAGGAAGAAAATTGGACTAATATCAACCTCAGGTTGTTAGAAGGGAGATATATATTTGAAATATGTTTAAACCCTAAAAAGTTTGAATTAGCATCTATGAAGTTAAGATAATTAGCAGGGTTAATGCTTCGAAAAATTATTTCCACCCCTTTACAGCTCAATCTCAAATACATAAAGTGGATCACTTATGGTGATAAATCAACCTTAATTTTGAAGTTGAAGAAAAAGAATGCAAATTTTATAAATAAAAAACTGAAAAGTGTGGCCTGCGTTTGCATTTAGTCCTTCTGAAGGAACATTTTGGGATATCAGCTTTTCCTGCAGTTACAGCTGTGGGAATTTTGACCTCTGTTTCTGTCAGCTTTTTGCATTAAGAGATTGAAATTTCTGCAATTTCTTGCTTGCAGTTCCAGCTGAAGAGCATGTGTGAAGATACTATGGGTTTTTAAGTCATGCTACTAGATGCAGGTCCAGACTGCTTGGATTTAACACATAAACATCCTTTTTCTAAACCCTTTCACTCTTGCACTAGCTGTGTGTATGACATTTTTTTTTCCAAAAGTGCTGCTCCATCTATTTGCCCTTCAATGTTTCACATGCAGGTCTAAAAGTTTTTACTTTTTACTTCTTGTTTTTAGGTGTCCTTTCATCCACTGTTATAAGATTTTATCAATCCAAACCGCTTCTATAGGTTTGGGCTGTGGTCTTACCCTAAAGGGCTAGTATAAGATTGTGACTTAAAAGTCCAAATTGGTCAATTAAAAGGATAAATTGATCATTGAAGAATAACAGCACCTTAGAAATAAACTGCTGAAATAAACATTTTCTGCAGGGTGACTCTGCATAGAGAAAATTTTTATTATCAACAGGATATTTTAGGTAGACTAGACAACTTTGCTGCATTAACCAGTCTCAGGAAACAACTCAAGGAATATTTAGAAAAAATATGATTTACGGTAGGAAACAGAAAGCTTCCAATGCTACAATTAATGAACATAACTTGTAGGGTGATTTATTTTGCAGCAGATGTAAGCAGATCTATATGTATGCAGAGCACAAACTGTAGGTTAAGTACTTTCTTGGCAGGACAATGGATTCCAGACCTTCAAAAGACCTCTCCATCATTATCTCTGTTTCCTTTGGAGGTGGCATGGATCAACCCTCATACAGCAACACGGTCCTCTGCTTCTGATAGGTGGCTGCTCATCTTCAGTGCTCTGAAGGCTCCAGCAGGTGGTGGCAGTGGTGGAGCGAAATAATGTTTAAAGGTGTTAAAAACTAAACTAAACCAAAGGAAAATACACCTCAGGTCAAAAAGAAGCTGTTAAGTTTCTCTGGTTAAACAATGGGTGTGAGTAAAATAAAATAAAAAGGGGGGGGGGGTGTTGTTCTATAACAGTTCATTTTAGCAGTTCAAAAACTCACTATATATTTTTCACATTCGCTTATCACTGAGGTTTACACAGAATTCAAAGAAAAAATACAGAAAATATCAAATTAAAGGCAATCCAAACAGATTATGAGTCCCCTTTGTCATGTATCAACAGAATAGATAGTGATGTAAAATGAGGCAGGGAATATTTTTTGCCTCACTTTAGGCCCTGTACCAGCAGATCAGTGTTAGAATATCACTAAGATGCTGAGCATGTTTATTCCTCCTGATAGCTACATCCAATTGGATCATACAAAAGCTCAGATCATCTGAAAATAATTTCTTTAACATGTTCCCTGCAATCGAGTAGGCGCTGCAGTCGATAAAATTTAAACCAACAGAACACTTGTGGATGTGATAAAAGGAGATTTCATTTATGCACATTGAGCTGATCGATATTTAGCAACTCTATGATGCTGTCACGCAAATGAGACATCTGCCACCAAGAATAAAGGAATTCTAAAGGTAAGGATGTTGATGAGTTTAATTATTGGTTTTTGTGTCAATAACCATGCAATACAGGCCTCACTATGACTTGCATGTTATTAACAGGAGAGCAAGGTCTGCTTTGTTCTTTAGCTTTAGCCTCTGGAGCCCTGACCTACAATACAAGGTTTATTCTACATGAAGAATAAAAGGAGTTATGTTCTTGAGCTAAGCTATTAACTGAGCTATCTCTACAGTTATGCTGCTATAGGCTCAGACTTCTGGAGGACATAGGGACCTCTATTTCATCATTTTGCTTCATACTATCTCTATTCCTCCACTATGCAGAATCTGTTACTTTGATCTCTAACTTTATGCTCTCTCTGTCTTTTCTCATAGTAGCTTAGCCTTATCTGTTCCTGGTTGGCTGTGCCAACACCATCCTGGAGAGAAATATGAGCTGTGCTGCTGCCATCAACACCTTTGTTTATAGATGTTGGAGATCGGCCTGTTTTTCCAGTGTAGTCCTGTTTCTCTGACTGTGACTTGCTGGATGTGCTCTCTTTATCCTCTGACAAGGGAGCTGGCTCGGAGCTCATGTGCCTGGCTGTGTGTTTCCTGGACCGGGCCGCCTTTTACAGTTGCTTTTTCTATGTCTTCTTCTGTCTGCTTGAACCCCAGTCAGCCTCAGTAGATGGCCGCTCACACTGAGCCTGGTTCTGCTGGAGGTTTCTTCCTGTTAAAAGGGAGTTTTTTCTCTCCACTGTTGCTGCAAGCATGCTTAGTGTGAGGGATTGCATCCGAATTAATGAGGCGATGCAATCAACTGGTTTTCCTTAGATAGAAAACTTTGAATCAGTTTGAGTGGATGATCTGGTGAACTGTAAAGCGCTTTGAGATGATGTGTGTTGTGAATTGGCTCTATAGAAATAAACTGAATTGAACTGAAGTGTTTATCTATCCATCCATCCATTTTCTGAACTGTTTATAATATCTTAATATAGGCTCCTTCTGAACTTTTAAAGATTGAGTCAACCCTTGGTCCTCTAATTGCACTTCCATAAATTTCCGGGGGGTGGCGCTGGAAACGAAAAGGCAGGTTAATAATTTGGGGTCTCCAGCTCTGCCTGTGTCACATGGAAGCAAGGCAGCTGAGCTGAGGGGATGTGAGCAGAGATGGAGGGGGCTTAAGGGACCGAGGCAGCCGCAGATCATTTTGGAGACGCATCAGGATCTTTATTTTTTATCATCATCAGTAGCCGGATAAAGAAAAAAAGGGGCAGGTTGAGCTCTTCCCAGCCTCTCCTCTTGGCTGGGGGTGCGCGGACAGGGCGCATGAAGGATGCCACATGAACTATGCTGCATCCTCATCCTACAGTGAAGAAGCCCAGCTGTTGGTTTTGCTGTGATTATGTTCGCATGGAGCTTTTGGTCTGATGGGAAGCAGAAACTGAAGGAAGCGACAGGAGCCGATGCTGCGCCTCCCCAGACCTCTGAGCTGAGTGAGTACAGGGGGGCTGCTATAGCGCAAAGCTGAGTGTGACAGGCTGGAGGGAGGCAGAGAGGGGGAGGAGGAGGAGGAAGAGGAGGAGGGGGTCATTCATGACTATATAGATTCAGCTCGATAAGCATCTTTTATTCTTCTAGGAAACGCAAGCTGTGTCTCTTTGTGCTGCTTTGTGTTTTCTCCATCTGCTCAAACATCCAACACAAACGCACGTGCGCAGTCCCCTCAGCATCACCGCATCGCCTTTATTTTGGGATTTAATCCGCATTCATCAGATAATAATAACTCCATTGTGTTTTGATGAGAAGGGGACAATTAGGGCACTTTTTTGTTTGTAAATTTGATATAAATAATAATAATAATAAATAACACATTAACCTTCACTTAAAAAAATGTCCCCTCACGCCTCCCTCACCCCCATCGCGGCTGATTAATTGGGGGTGTGGAGAGGATCTGGCTTTGTCGCGTTAGTTAGCAGCTGACCTCGGGGACACAGCATCCCATCCTCACTTTGATCTGGAAATGAATCGGAAACGCTTTGATGATTAGGAGGAGGCAGTGAAAGGACCTGGGCTGCAGGCTCCAGAAAGCAAATCCCTGAAAATAAGCCACTGCATCAGAGTCTGTGTCTTTCTACGTTTTTTTATTGTAACGCCTAAAGCACCCAGAGAGCAGGAAGACCCCCCCGCCCCGCACGGAGGCCGGTGTCAGTCGGCATCAGAGGAGTCGTGGTTTGTAACCTGTTGTCAGCAGCATTGCTGCAGCTTGAGCCCAGAGGCGCGGCGAGCCGCGGCCAGCCAGCAGTCTGAGTGTGATTGATGCGTGCTGAGCTGTTACCATCATGAGCCAGCCTCCCTGGACACGCACACACACAGAAGCCCTTCATGCATGAATATCTTTATTTTAGCAAATGAAAAAAAAAAAGGGAACTCTGTAAAACCATGGTGCTGATCAGGGGCGTTGGTAGAGCAAAGAGGACAGTGGAAGCACAAGTTTGGATTAATTAGTGCATTTTCTGCAACAAATCAGCTAAATACCACAACAATCAATCAGTGATGTTGGTGAAAATGATTTAGCATAACTAGAAAAAAATGCCTTGTTGATGTCAAAGGTCAGGGAATATTAGGAAGACTATTTCCGTTTCTTAGAACAGGGCAGAATAGCAGCTCTGAAAGGACATGCTGAACCTTGAAGCAGATTGGCCACTATAGCAGGAGACGACACCAGGATTCACTACTGTCAGCTCAAAGCAGGAAAGTGAGGCTCAGCAAATTATATTAACAGATTGAAAAATCATTTTCTGGTTGGATGCAGGGATACTTTTAGAAAATGTATAGCGGTGGCCAGGCAGGGGCCAATTTGTGCTGAGAGGTGACTGGGAACTGCTAGGTGCCTGCAGTTCAGCGTGAATCTATACTGATCACAATGAAGCAACAGGAAAATTAATGAAGCAGCTATATTTTCCAAACCACTGGATTTTCATGAGACAATAGCTACTAAAGCAATGCACATATAATGCTGGATAAATACCTTTATCTTTCTACAATATTTTTATATTTAAATGGGTTGAGCAGGTGTTCTTTATCTTTAACTACTTGGAAGACTCCTAGATGTATGCAGGGAAAACATTTACCCCAAAAATCATAAAAACATATTCTTAGTTCTCTTTAATTGTAAGATATTGTTACGAAAAAGTAAATGCGGTATTTTCATAATTAAGTTTAAAATGTCATAGTAGGACATTCCATGTGGTATCACTTCTGCCACCCTCTGATTTAGAAGAGAACTGCTTGTTCCAGAGGTGGTGAATTGCATCCCAGTGGGAACAACAAATCACCTGTGTGGCCAATGAATGGGTAGGGGGTGGCTTTAGCATCCCCCACTCCCCTGATCTGCCCCACGGTTGGATCAGACATAGATCCATTCTGTTTTGGATCAGACTGTTGGTCGTTAAATACTGTGGATATATCAGCACCACTCTTTGGGCGTATTAGTACCAGCCAAAAGCCAGAGCTATAGGTGATGACCATGCAGATTAATTTACCATGTTCTGATGGTTAACAGTGCACCATGTTATAAAGCTTATATAATCTCAAACTGGTTTCTTGGAAGATGAAAATAATGCAAGAGTAGTCTGAGGGGCTCCAGATATTAATCCAATGAAAAAAGCAAGTCCAGCTCTTTGCACGTTCCCACTGGTATTTAGGGATTTATTTGCTGATCTCTGAGGTTGGAAGGCCATCTTCTTAGAACCCTAATCTTTAGCTCCCTCAGGTCCTTTGGTTTATCTGTTTCTTGGATTGCACTCTTCTGGAAACAGCTCTCACAGGTTGTCCTTACAATCTGCTGTAGTCACTCCTCCAGTTTCAGGATCAATTGATGACAACTTCCATCACCGAGGCTAAACCCACAGCGGTGGGTAGTTACTAGTTACATTTGCCTGAATAAAATCTTGAAATAAGTGTATTTTTAGGAGAACTTTACTTCTTACTTTTACATTAGTAATATATTCGAGAAACATGGCTACTCCGTCTTTGAACACCAGGTGAATATACGGTAAAGAGTCAATGTTACCCGTAGAAGTTCGTTATTCTCATCTAAAGAATTACTTTAATATGAAAATTCTTTTCTGCTTAAGTTTTTCATTTTTTTAATCTTTCTTTATTGTATTTTTCATTTATTTGAATCACTAAAAGACCAGAATGTGTACATAATCCTTTCTTGCTTTATTTTTAATCATTAAATTTAGAGATATCGCCCAGTATTCAACTCGTCTTTTTACCAAATACTCTTTTACTGTTATCTGAGTAATTCTACTTTTTTAATAAAATAAGAAACCGTTGAATCAGTGCTACTCTTACTTGAGTACAACTCTTGGGCATTTTACCCACCTCTGCTGACCACAACATCTCTTTTTCCTCTTTGTGCCTGTAGTACTTTTGAGCTTCTGTGTCTCTTCTTGATGTTGCTATCACTTGAAAACACAGCTCCTCTATATCCACCACTTTGATGTCCAGTTTTTCGGTCTGGAAATATACTGAAGGATAATTCTCAACCACTCTTGGTGATGTTTTCACACTTTGCTTTTGGGACATTCAGCCAGTGCACAGGTGTGTTTATGCTATTCTAGGGTTTAGACTTAGGAACATCCGTCCACAGCCTGCATATTTTGTCCTCTTTGAAACGATAGACCTCAGCCACTACTGCTCTTGCACCAGGAGCCCTTTCCTCTGCGGCTGCGCTATCCACGTACCCACCTTCTCTGGGTATTGATAGGACATTGTGACTAGTACACACCCTACCGATGCTCTTCCTGGTCTTTTTCTTACATTCTGGGTTCCTCCTGGCAGAGACATTTAGCAGTTTATGACTTGAGCTCATATTGGAGATGTATTGCTAAATCTTTGCTGTTTCTTTCCAAGTTGGGCTTCGGTACTCTCTGGACATTGGCCTTCTTCCCTCTGCATGGTATAGATGGCCGGATGCCTCTGTGCATTGTGAGGGGCGTCCTTGTCCGAATCGATGCATAATTCACCAGTTAGGATTGTCCTTTTAAAACAAGCAGGACAGCTGCTATTAAAGGTATACTATGCAACCGGTGTTGATTTTCCAGCGAGGCTCCCCCCAGAGGGCGAAAGTAAAAGTGCACTTTCGTAAATATGCTCAGCTGTTCTCCTGGTTTCTCCGTCAAGCCAGGCGCGGTTGTTTTGAGCTTAGCAGATATGCGAACGCAACAAATCCCCGTGTCTACTGCGGTAAGTGACTATTTTGTTCCAATTTTCGAGTTTGAAAATTTCGCTGTTTTCTCGCTGGTTCCGCCATGATAACTGCACAAATATCGCCACTGCGCTAGCAACGAGCATGCCTTTCACTGGGCGCGTCTAGCAGTTCTCGCCGTAAAGTAAGATCAACTCTCGCGATGCACAAGACTTCTGAGCCTGTGGGTGCGGGCCGAGGGCTCCTGCAATTGCAAGTACGGTATTTCCCCTACAGACCACTAGCCTGACGTAGTCCGACTCAATTCTAGTTCGAATATGAGTCTGATACTGCTCCATAGAGCTGTGATTATGGGGAGTGTTTCGAACGAACCAGGAAAAAAAATAATAATAAGAGCAACGGAGTGCGTGACGTATGTTAAGTGAGGAATAGTTGTTGTCCACAAAAATCAAAGTGTGCAGTTGCACGCCTATAATAAGAAGATGAGACTTGATCGCGTTTCTCTGTTCCTCTTTTAAAATTAATTTGCTGTCGATATCTTCTAGAACAGACCTAATAGCAGAATCTACTCACCTAAACTCTCCAGCGGCAGCCATTATTGTTGTCACCCAAGCGCGCATTGGTCACGTGGTTGATTACGTTACTGTTGGTCATCTGTCCATCATCGTATAAAGTCCGCCCTGACAATTTGATTGGATCGCCTGACAGTGGGCGATAATACTCGCGCTACTATGGAGCAGAGCCAGACCGAACTTCCCAACCTCAAACTTTGTGGGCGGGACTAAGTTCGGAATGGCACCCAGGCTAACAGACCACCAGGGCGGCCGAGAAAACCTTTGTTCGACCTGAAATGACTCATTTAATCATCCAAAACGTTATGGAACACATTAATTAACTGAAAAATGTTTTGCATAGTATTGTCCTGTGTGTCTCTGTGTTGCCCTGCGATGGACTGGCGACCTGTCCAGAGTGTACCCCGCCTCTCGCCCATTGACTGCTGGAGATAGGCACCAGGACCCCTCGCGACCCCACTCGGGACAAGCGTGTAAGAAAATGGATGGATGGATGGATGGATGTTGCATAGTATGCCTTTAAGGAGTTTGGCACCCTTGGTACAGGCTCCTAAGGATGTTCTGTTGGCTTGGGATTGGGTGACTTTGTAGGCCAAGGAGTACAGTGTACCCATTATTCATAAACCAGTTTGGGCTTGTACTTCTAGTAGATTCAAAGTGGGGCTAACTGGGAGCACTGGGTCTATGATTAGTCCATTTTTTAAAA